CCCTTGAAAAAGTCGCTCGTTCTCTTGAAAAAGTCACATTTTCATCTTACATCTAAAAAAGTTTATTTTTTAAACTACTAAATTGTTAAAAAAGGACTACGTGTTGAAAAGTCGTGTACTTATTTGCATTAAATTACTTATTTTTTGAAAAAGTAATTTTTTCAACGAAAAAATGTATAACTTTAAAAAAAGTAACTTATTCTTTAGTTATATTTAAAAAAGATCTTACTTCTGAAAAAATTACTTTTTTAAACCACCAAATTTTGAATCTCCATGAAAAAGTCACGAATCTGTTTAATACTTTTGAAAAAGTCACTTATTCCCTTGAAAAAGTAACATTTTTAAAAAAAATTCCCACCTCTTTTGAAAAAGTTATTTCCTTTTTAAATCGCCAAATTTTTAAAAAGGTACTTATTTCTGAAAAACTCTTGTACCCATAAAGTACATTATTTTTTGAAAAGTCGCATCATTTCGAAAAAATAACTTATTTTGAAAAAGTTTCTTATTCTCTCGAAATAGTCACATTTTTGAACTTTAAATAATTTTTTTAACCCACTTTTACTTCTAAAAAAGTCACGTACTTATTTGAAGTACATTTCCTCATTTTGAAAAAGTCACTTATTCCTTTGAACTCACGTTTTTTGAAGAAATTTCTTACTTTTTAAACCACCAAATTTTGAAAAAGGTACTTTTCTAAAAAAAGTCGCGTACCTATTTGAAGTACATTCCTTGATTTTGAAAAAGTCACTTATTCCTTTGAACTCACCTTTTTTGAAGAAATTACTTAATTAAACCACCAAATTTTGAAAAAGGTACTTTTACCTTCGTGAAAGTCACATTCCTGTATCTCTATAACGTGTAGAGGGTGGGTTACCCCACGGCACTTAGGCCTCATTAGGTCCATTGTGCATCGTCCTGAGATGATACGCACCTCCTAGCTCGTGAGCCAGTCTACAGTAAAGGATATGCTCGATGGTCTAATCTTCTTGTTCGCACCCTCTGTAGAGTACGGATTCTGACAGCCCCATGATATGGAGATGTTTTTGTACTTGGCAATGACCAGTTAGAAATGCCTGTGACTAGGCGCAGATTCTGTCTAGTCATAGTCAAGTATTTGTTTGCTGTAGTGTTGTCAAGATAACTTAAGAGCTCCCTGGCAACTCTGCAGTTTCTTGTTTCATCCCATCTTTCCTTAGTCACATTCCTATTTTATAAATTACTGATTCTTTTTTAAAAAATTGATACCTTTAAAAAAGTCACTATTTCCGCTACCTTTGTGAAAAAGTCACATCAATTCGAAAAAATAAATAATTTATGCATTTGAAAAAATTACTTATTCCAATGAAATAGTCACACTTTTGAAAAAATTCTTACCTCTTTGCAAAAGTTACTTATTTTTTTAAACGTTTTGAAAAAGATACTTTTTACCGCATTGAAAAAGTCACGTACCTATTTGAATTACATTACTTATTTTTTTAATTCTATTATTTAAAAAATTATACAAATCAATTATCACGCAAAAAAATCATTCATTGCTTTGAAAAAGTCACTTTTCTTTTAAAACGACGTACCACTTTGAAAAAGTTACATTTCCTTGAAAAAGTTACATTTCCTTGAAAAAGTAACATTTTCGAAAAAAAGTCAGTTATTTTTTTGAAAAAAAGTCTTATTTTCGAAAAAAAATTCCTCTCTGAAAAAGTTATTTTTTTAACTACCAAATTTTTTAAAATGTAAAAAAGTTACGTACATATTTGAAGTATATTACTTATATTTTTGAAAAATTCACTTATCATTTAACATTTATTTCTTTGAAAATGTCAATTTTCTTTTAAAATCAACGTATTACTTTGAAAGTCACTTGTTTCCTTGAAAAAAGTCACATTTTCGAAAAAAAAAAATTCTTACCTCTTTGAAAACGTTATTTTTTTTTTTGAAATTACCAAATTTTTAAAATGGTACTTTTACCTCTGTGAAAAAGTTACGTACATATTTAAAGTATATTACTTGTTTTTATAAAAAGTCACATCAATTCGAAAAAATATTCCTTTGAATAAGTCACTTTTCTTGTAAAAACAATGTACCACTTTGAAAAAGTCACATTTTCGAAAAAAAAATTCTTACCTCTTTGAAAAAGTAATTTTTTTTAATTACCAAATATTTAAAAAAAGACACTTATTATTACACATTTGACAAAGTCATCTTTTTATGATAAAGTTACTTATTTTTTCACCACGTACAGCATTAATGAAGTTAAAAGTCAATTATCAATTTAGTCCTTTGAAAAAGTAACTTATCTTGAATTGCAATTCCCATCCATATTATGTTTTTTAATAAAATCATTTTTTGACAATACTTATTTTATGGACTTGAAGCTTGAATAGGATAATAAATTCATCAAGATGTTGATCAGCGTGTAAATTTAATTTTGTCGATACAGCGTCCTGTCAGAGTGGGCAAAAATGGCAGATGCTCAGCAAAAACAACAGTTTTTTATCCTGACTTTCTTGATTGTTTGACCGTTATTGTATATCATACATATTCATAAAAAAACTCCAAAACAATATTACACTCACTTTTATTATTTCGTCCACCATTTTAAATCAAGCGATTTGGAATGCCTAATTGTCATCTCATGTTTATTTACATTCACTGCCACTGTGTTATTTCTATTCCTTTGGCGATTTTATTTATACTTTAAGCATAACCATTTGTTTTTATAGCCTAATTCACGAGTCATCTTTAAATTTACCCACATGTAAAACCTTAAAGATAGATAAGTCTTTATAACGAATGTCCAATTGAGTTTGTCGATATTTTACGAACTGTTTTTTAATTATTTTAATTATTTTAATAATAATAATAATAATAATTTTAATTATATATCTTTACATGTTTTTCTTCAAACATAACCTCGTTTATTTGAATTTTACAATCCTCCATCTCTAAATTGACGGTTCTATCTTTAAGATTTTACATGTAAGTAACTATTTAAAAACGCTTTGTGAATAAGGACGTTAAGTGTATTTTAATGAGTGGTCCATAAAAAATGTTTCTAAAGTAGGTCATGACCGAAACTGACATTTTAAAAAAGAAGAATCAGACGTACGTGACATTTTCCAAGGCCTACTTTATAAACATTTGTTGTGGATCACTCGTAGATTGTAGGATAACATTGTTAAAATATGTTTTGGGGCTAAAAATAAATTTATTTTTCAACTTTAATGATGGTTTTATTGCTAATCTGTATTCCAACTAAAGAACGAATTATTCTTTCTAAATTTTCAACGATATAATAAAATTTCAAAAACATTACCACTTATTTTTAATGTTATAAACAGATGCGACTAGTTTCGGCTTCATAGGACCATCTTCAGGTAAATATATTGTTCTGGTAAGTATAAATTTAAGAATATGTATCTTATATTATTATAGCGTTGATGTATTACACACAAGGCTTATACAGGGTATCCAGAAACTTTAAAGAATCAAAAAACGGCAGTATCTATAGTGTGAGACACTGAGAATGCAGTGTAAAGTATTAAGAAGCGCACCGTTGCCTGCCTTATTACTAAGTCTCTGCTATCCATCTGTCTATCCAAATTAAAGGGGATCTTTTAATAAAAACGTGTTTATTTGGCTTTTTTGCTCGATCTTAATAAAGTATTTAAAAAGTACCTACATAGTATTAAATTTTGTACGATGGTGCGGAATTCTTCATGCTCCCAGTTGATATATTTGTGTAAAGAGATCTGTTGTTTCTATCAGGCTTAACAGTCTCCATTGGAGCCTTCTTAGGAAAAGCCTATATACTATCTATATATTGTAACCTGACAAACCGGGTCCTAACCTAGTTTTACAAATATTCAAACCTTGGCCTAATAATACGTCTAGTAGATACCCATTTATACTTTAATTTTCCCATTTAGTCAATGCATTAGACAGAGAAAGGTTGAGTAACAAAAAAACAGCCCGAACAATATCCGGCTTGCGGACCACCCCCTGAGTTCGAGTTTGCCTTTCAACAATTTACACCCGATGAACAAAAGACGTGCAAAATACTAGCGATTGATATTTCCTCGAAAAACGCAACAAAATATTTAAAGAAAAGAATACAAAAATATCAGACCCAGGGGCGTCGGGTTTTACTATACTATACTAAATACTATACTATATATACTAAAGGAAAGTTTAAACAAATTTATATATCCATATTAGAAACAAATTACTTTCAAATCATATAGTATATTATTATTCGTAAAGTTAGAAATGATCAAATCTGTCGATACTTATTACATAATATTTTTTTTTTGAGATAGTTTACTCTGATTCCATGTAATTTTTTCCATTTTTTTTAATAATAAGTGTAACTGCCCTAATTCATATTTTTTGACATCCCCCGTATATGGTAATAACATTTTTTGAAATTTATTACTTCACGGAATATATCGGAAGAGTAAATTGGAATTTTTTATTGTTGAGTTTCAGAGATATTAATTTTTCCCGATTTAAAAACAAGTACACGAATTGGCCAAAACGGACCTGCAAAGGCACTTTGTGCGCAATCTCACCAGTTTTTGAAATTTGGCCCAACACTATGGCGGGAAGTTTGAAACGTGTTTATAGTAATGCATCTTAAAATACAATACAAATATTTTTTTTAGTCAATATTTATTTCTGAAGTATTTAAACAGACGAATTCATTTTCAAAACTATACACATTTGTATTTTTGATTGATTATTAAAAAATATAATACCTATCACGGAAAATGCACAAAACGTAACATTTGTGTTCTGTGTTCTGTTTCTAGCATTCTGTGAGAATCATGACGTAGTAGTGGTTGATAAAAGCAAGCGCCAAGCGGTCTCCCGAAACTTTTTCATAATTATCCTTCCTCCATGCTTTTTCATTTGAAATACAATCAACGGATTCAGCTGAGCATTCGAGTGTATTATTGTAATAAAATAAGTAAATTAGTTTGGACTAATTACTTGCAAACAATATGCATATAAAACAGGTAAGCAAATTCCCAATAACAGTAATACTTTTGTTCAAATCGTTTTTACCTTATTCAAATTCTGATCGTTATATACGAACCGGCATTTTGATTTTCGGCTTTTCAGTAATTAATCTATGTAGTGTAATTTATAAATAGGTATCAATTCATTTTCAGATTATCATTCAAGGCTTTAGAAGCTATAAAGACCGTACTGTAATAGAACCATTAGATAAAAGACACAATGTATTCGTGGGTCGCAATGGCTCTGGAAAGAGCAACTTCTTTTCTGGTAAGTCTTCTCTTAAAGTTTTCAAGTAAAACAGATAGATATATTGTATTGTATTGATTATTTTTGTAATACGTTTGATAATTATCAATCCTGTTTAAAAAAGCGAGGTAAAAGTATAGTTTGAAATTTAAAATTCGTGGAAGTGGCGGTCATTTTGAAGATGGAACGTTCGAGTGAATATACAAGGACTGTTCGATAATTTTGTGCATAAATACATTGCTGTTTGAATTTTTAAATTTTTAACGGTTTCAATATTTTCTATGAACGACTTGTATTGATAATTTTTGTAATGCTTTTGATATATTCATCAATTTTGTTTGAAAAATAGTTAGAAGTTTGAAATTCGCGGAAGTAGGAGTCGTTTTATAGTGAATATACGAGGACCGTTCGATAATTTGGTGTATAAATATATTACTGTATGAATTTTCCATGAAATTTTTGACGTATTCAATATTTTCTACCAGTTATGGTAAATTATTGAGAATTTATGCTATATTTTTAACCGACTTCAAAAAAAGAGGAGGTTCTCAATTCGTCGTAATATTTTTTTTAAGTATGTTCAGCGATAATTCTTTAACACGGTGTTCGATTTCAATGATTCTTTTTTTGTTTGAAAGGGGGTACTTCAGGGGTGGTCCCATATTAATTTGGTAAAAATTTAATAATTGGGTCCATTAGAAATTCCTCAAGCTCTTCATTTATAATGTATGTTCAGCGGTAATTCTTTACTACCTTGTCCAACCTCTATTATTTTTTTTTGTTAGTAAGGGGGTACATCAAGGGCGGTTCCATATAAATTTGGTCAAAATCTAATATTTGGATACATGAGAAAAATTTTCAAACTCTTCATTTTTTATGTATGTTTAGCGATATTTCTTTACCACCTTGTCCGATTTCTATGAATCTTTTTTTGTTAGTAAGGGGATACCTCAGGGGTGGTCCCATATAAATTTGGTTAAGATGTGGTGACGGCATCTGCACGATTTTTTAAATTACTTTTCATACTTGTAACATATTTTTAGTAATTCGTTTTTAATATTTTCTATTATTCATTTCATATTGTTCTATTTACAGAGTAAGTAGGTAATTTTTAAGAGTGAACATATATTTTAGTTATAAAAATCAGTGGGAGTTGGATAAGTTACATTACTTATACGGGGGTTGATCATAAAGAGAGTAGCTAAAGCATTTGTTAAAAAATGTGACGTAAACAGTGACGTAATGGTTTATTCGGGTTCGCTTTACGCCACTAATGGCTGACAGCTGGGTAATTACATGTACTTTAAAAATAATTACAATTACAAAGTACTTTTTCAAAAAAGGAATTAATTAAGTACAAAGTACATGTTGTAAAAATAGGAATTATATTGATTTAATTACAATTACATGAAAAAGGAATTATCAATTTCTTTGCCGATTCTGATAGAATTGAGGAACCATGAACCAACCGGACAGGTACAAATTAAATTTTTAAATAGGTAATTCAAAGTGTCAAACTAACAGCCATTTGCAACGACTTTCTTAAGGATTCCTAAGTTAAAAATATCTTAAGGTTGTATAAATCTTACTTAAAGTTAAACTCCTACAGGTACAGTCTAAATACCATTTAGCACTTAGGGCTTGTTTTTCCAAACATAAGACTGCACGGAAATTGACATATATGTATCACCTAAAATTGAGCTTAATTATAAGTAAGCTTTGTACAACCAGCCCTAAGTGTATTGTTTTCTGTACCATTTAAGGTCTTCTTGACTTAAGGGAAAAGGCAAAAGTAGTATAAAAAATGGAACAGGTAAGTTAATAATAAAATATGAACTGTTAAAAATTTAATTAATTTTCAACAAAAATACAAAAGTTCGTGTACCTACGTCTAGCTACTTTTATCTGAATTTTTGACCACATCGTATGTGTTTTAATTAAATATTATGGGGTAGTAAATAAAAGAAATAGGATAGGAAGGAATAAGTTAGCCATTTTGATCAATTATAAATAATTTTGACAGAAAAAATGTCAAAATTAAAAAATCTCTATTTTTTAACAAATTAAGTCTGATAGATGAATGAAATTAGTTATTCAGGGAGAATCTAAAAATGTAATAAAATACAAGGTGTGCCACAAAACTTTGATACGCCACATTTTTTGGGACATACTAAGTATATATTTTAAAATAATTTTAAAAAGGTGCCTTTCCTCATCATATATACTAAAAAAAGTAGGAGCCATTTTAAAACTTTATCGATTCTCTATAAACGTTAGAGGCGTGGTAAATTATCCTGTATAATGTTTTATTGGTATTGACAAATTATACTGAAACTGAAATAGTAGTTTGTGCAACAAGAGTGGATACGGAGTTCCACAGTATATTTTTTCTACGATCCACTAACGAAAATCTATAACATTTTAGGTTATTAAGACAAAATAACTAATTTTACAATAATTTGTTTTTTACTAATTCATAAAATAAAATTAGTCCCTTGTTCAGATTTGAACCCGGGCTATTCGCATGGAAGGCAGATGCTCTGTCCTCAGCTCCATTGACACATTTATCATTTTGGTTTTAATACTCGTAATTAAACTAGTTTCATATAGTTTGATTAAAGTTTAATTTTTTTTCAAATTGTGGCCCAAATAAAAAAAATAAAAATGTTATTATTTATCGATTCTAAACAAAAATAACTCATTTAGTGTATGTTTAATATCAATAATTAAAAAATATTCTGATAATTAGTTTGACAGAATAATTGTCACTTATTTAAAATTTTAAAAATAATAGTAGTTTGGTATCCAAAATATGAACTGTGATTGGTGGATTTCATTTTTTTGCAGTGTTCTCACTACTTAGAATAGATATGAAATATATTCGTTCAGTTGAACGTAATAGCTTACTTTTCCTTTTTAATCTGTGCGTATATAAGCTAATAGCCCTGTAGGTGTAGAAAAATATGTTTTTTCTACGCTCACATTTCAATGTAGAAAACTAGAATAATAACTAGAAATACCTACGCAATGTAAATACGTAGTTTTTAGTATTTACCCTATAAAAACAGCTATTTGCACCACTTCATATATTTCCTTAGTTTATAATGTTTATGCAACATAAATTATGTTTATAACTTAGATAAAAGAGACCAGAGATATAACATACACCGGTGTTTAACCTGCGCAAATGTTGCCAATTTCTAAAGAAAGGTTAACGGAGTGGGGGAGCTGGGCAGGGACCCGAACTCTGTGACAGGGACCTAACTTTGTTTATTAGCATCATAATGAACTATTAGATTTATTTAAAATATACGTTTAATGGAATTTTGTATTATGAAATAAATTTAACGTGATTTTTTTAATATCAAATAGATGCCACGACATTTTATGTAAAGAGAAGACCTTTTATAGAATATCTATTATATAAAATAACCGATTATATTCGATCAATCGATTATTTTCATATAATCTATTTTTTCGCATTTCTTTTAAAACAAATTGTTCGAATACCTTTGAAAAATCGAAAATAATCGATTAATTGAAAATATTCGGTAAATTGAAAATAATCGATTAATTTAAAAAGTCGATTAAACAATTATAATCGATTTTTCTAAAAAAATCGATTATAATAAATCGAATATTTTTGAATAAATCTACGTTCTTTTTGTAATTACTTTATAATCGATTATTCCATTACCTAAAAAAACGAAAACAATTTATTGAAAATGTTCGATTAATCAAAAATAATCGATTAATTATAACGGATAAATCGATTTTCATGAAAACGATAAATCGATTATTTTTGTAACTCCTATCGGTTGCATGCTTTTATCCGAGCATTTAGCTCCAAAATTTAGAGATTCGGATTTATTAATCCTGTTATCTTTGAAACGCATTCGATTGTATAATAAATATTGCTAGAATTTAGATTTTTTTAGTAAACGAAGATTTTTTTCGAGTTGTTTAGGGGTTTATAATGTAACATTTTACTAATAATAGTATTTTTTTACTTATACTAGATCATATTGCGCGTTTTACTTTGTTTTAATACTTAAGATTCAAATGTCACTTCCGATTTAACCGCAAATAAAATGAACCTTAAAATTTTAAGTAGGTGAACCTGTATTTCATCTAATATTCTTGTAAAAATTCCTAATAAGGTTTAAAAACCACCTTTAGTAAATATTCTTATAAAACTACTTTTTAAAAACAAAATTTCGTTAGTAACAATGCCCATTTACTTCTTATTTAGATTAAATGTCTAAAATTTTACTCTTTTTTAAATTAATGCATTATGAAATCTATTTTCTGAAATATTATGTTGTATTTGATGCTTAATATTTATTGAAACCCCTTAATGCGGATCTGAAGTATTCAGCTCAAAGAATTATGGTGACTTTATGTCAAAACGTCAACAAATATTTACCGCTGAGAACGAATATATTTCTTATTTTTCATAACATTGACACTTATATTATTTGTATATACAATTTTTCACCATACATCGTGGCATTTTCAACTTGAAATTGAATAACTAAAACACTTTAAATTGCTAATAACACCAACAAATAATTCAAAAAACGGCGGTCCATAAATGATTTACTCACGCGGAGACAAGCATAGAATAGAAATTTCGGAGCAATTCGGGTGGCGTCGTGAACACAATGATTTTTAATTGGTGGGTTACTTAGGGTTGGAATAGACAACGTGCGCGATGTGCAATGTTACACCTCCGGTCTCTTTTATCTAAGGTTTATAATAATATAAATTCAAAATACTTCTTAAAAATAAGAATATCTGCATCTACTTACCCCTTACTGGTATTATTTTGGGTTGAACAATTTCACTGCTTCACGGCACAACCCTTTCCTCAAATGCATTCAAACAAATGATATGGATGCGAGTCCAAGCTCTAGTGACTGGTTCGAACAGGAAATTTTTTGTTTTTATATCACATGCATCTCAAAACACGCATTTAAAAGTAATTGTAATTATAAATGTAATTGTAATTGGAAAAGTAATTGTACTTATGACAAGTAATTGTATTTAGACAATTTAAATATAAATTAATATAATCACAAAGTACAATTCCAAATTACATAAATACAATTATAAATAACATGAAAAAAAAATAATTGTAATTATTAATTACTTTTTAAATAGGCTCAACTCTGATGAGACTTTCAGATATTATTTGTTTTATCGTTTTAATTACAGCTATTCAATTTGTAATAAGCGATGAATATGCTCACCTCAAACTCGATCACAGGCGGTCTCTTCTGCATCAAAGTTCAGAGCCGATCCTCCAAGCATTTGTAGAAATAATATTCGACAATTCTGATTCATGGGTTCCAGTATGTATTAAATATTGATCTATTAATGCTGCGTTTGAGAATCCACATCGGATGAATTTTTTACATCTCGAGCGTTTTTTTATCCACATCGGACACGTCTGTCCCATTACATTTACGTATACTGCATCACGTGATCAAAGATTTTTTACATCTCAGATGCATCCGATGTGGATTCTCAAACGCAGCAAAAGTATTTATAATTATATTTATAAACAAAGTAAAGAGTGATTCACTAAAAATATTTCTAAAATAGACCATGAGTGACAAAAGAAAGATAGCTACGCGCGGCTTTGAATTAAATCCAAACTGACACATGTAAAGATAAAATCAATATTTGGATAATTCATATCAAATAAGAATTTAACCAAAAATCTTTTATTATTTAAAAATAATTAAAATTTTCTAATCTCAAATAACCAATAGAAAGTTCGTACTCTCAACATATGTTAATTTTTCCCAGTCCTAATTTAGAAATATTTTTTGTGGATCACTCATTAACACGTTTTTTTACCATATTAGATTGAATATAATGAAATCCGCTTGAGACGCGCTATTGGGATAAAAAAGGATCATTATTACCTCAATGGGAAGACCGTTCTCAGATCTGAGGTACTGAATTTGTTGGAATCTGCAGGTTTATCCAGTTCGAATACGTATTATATCGTAAAACAAGGAACGGTAAGTTGTTTTTTTTTCAAAGGGGTGTACCAATGTGTTATCATTTTCTAGTTATTAATTTTTTTGTGATTTTTTGAGCTTGAGTCAAGTTTGAGCGACTGCAATTAGATATTTCAGGCGTAATTTTAGATCACATGTTCTTAGTCGCAAAAGTTTGCAAGAAGAATTTAAATAGCTATATATATCGAGTGGCAAAGTGATCAGGAAGTTTTATTTTCATATAAAACTGCAAATGTTGCTTTTGGAGAAAGATAAAGGGCTTTTTTGTGTGGCATCTCCAAATTTTGTAATAAATAAGGAAGTTTAAATAATATTAGAAGTTGATTTTTGATAAACAAGAACTAAATGATATTATGAATTGGGCAAATATTTTTTGAAATAGTATTTTATAATAATTTAAAATAAAAAACAAGTAAAGTTTTCTTTAGTATTCTATAAACATTTTTATAACTATTCTTAATATTTATTTATCAATTACTTACCTCAAAATGATCTTCACATATAAAAGCACGATGGTCGTTTGTGTTTTGCACCAATCTAGGTGGCTCTGCGGTAACGCAACACGCCCATGCCCTAAGAGCGTCTACCCAAGAAATATATCACAAGTTTTATTCCAAGAACATTTTAAAAATAATACAATAATTATAAACCTAAAATGAAATTAAAAAAACTTTAAATCGTCTGTGTGGGAGACAAAGCATTGATTTTTTTTTCTAAAATTGCGAGATTGGTTTACTATTTGATAGTATCAAAACAACTTGTCAAGTCAGTCCATTTATAGAAGATTTTGTCACAAGAACTCCTTCATTTTCAAAAAAATGTTTAAATTGCACATACTTATTTTAAGTCATATCTTTTTATTTTGTGATACTGCTTGTTGAATTATGTTCAACATCCCAGACAACACACCAACTCCCAGAGATATCCACAGAATATCTTTTGTGGATATCCAATATATCCACAGGATATCAGAAATATTCCGTGGATCTAATATGAATATCCAAATGTCCGTCTATATCCAGAATATAGAAGATACAGAGATATCCACAAATACTAAACTTTCGAGGAGATTGCCTTTTTAAGTAGGAAAAAATGGTCAATCTGTGGAGCTTTGGACCTCCGTAGGAGCCAAAATAAGCAAAATTGAGCTTTGTGTCCATTGAGACTTTTGCTCAGGATGCCGAAACGAACAACATGTCCAAATTTCAGCCAATTTGACCGGGAGCCAATTTCCATAAGATTTGTGCGGGGTTCTTTCCGAAGAAAAGTCTGTATATAGTGTAAAAAGTATGTAGTTTGTAAATGAACCTTGTAATAAAATTAACATAGTTTCAATAGTGTTTTATAATAAAGCACGTAATTAGAAAGTTATTTTTTCACCCAAGCACTAATCCTTCCTTCCCTACGGATCTCACAGGTATTTCCAACAATTTCGGTCAATCTGCGTGTATTAGAGAAACACCATTAGTCAGCCTTATGGGGTTTCTCAAGTAAAGCAGATTTTGACGTTTGAACATTTATTGCAAGGAGAATTTTTGGAATATGTCAAATTTGTGACTTATGGGCTTTCTCAAATGACCGATTCAAATGAGGGCTGTACTAATATGTAACAAATTTTACATCCTCAATTACATTGATTAAATTTTACATCTCTAGATCAATCAGCTAGCCACAGCTCAAGATTCGTACAGATTAAAGGTGCTTCAAGAAGTAGCAGGGACGAAAGTATTCGACGAACGAAAAAACGAATCGAGTTCGATTATACGAGAGAACGCATTAAAATTACAAAAAATCGACGAATATTTTAACACTCTAGAGGAACGTTTGCAAACGTTGAAGGATGAGATGGAAGAACTAACAAAATATCAGAACTTCGATAAAACGCGCAGAGCTTTGGAATTCGTTCTACACGAAATTCAATACAATGAAAATAAGGCAAAACTAACTGAGGTAATTTTAGGCATGTATGATATTTTTTTATGTTAAAAATGATTTGTATTTTTAACATCTTTTGATCAATGCCTTAAGAGATTGGTAAATTAATGTTTGTTTCATTATTTAAAGTTATATTAACATAATCACAATTTTTAATGAGTTAATAATGAAATTGTGTTCTTTGGAAAATTGTGATATTAACTACAAATCTTTATTAATCAGATTGTTAGCATTGAGAATATCTAGGGCTTAAAAATAGTTTAACAAACGAATAAATTGGAACTACAGCTCTGAACTGTTAATTTTTTTTAACTATAAAATTGTAGTTAGAAACGAAAATACTTGACGCTTCCAATCAACAAGAAAAACTAGCCAGCGACTTACAAATCGCGCACGACACCATCAAGGCTTTATTCAAGAAATCGAAGAATACCAAAAAGGATTTGGCGTTATTGGAAGAAGAAAAAACTATTTTAGACCACAATAATGACGACTTGATCAAGAGAAAGTTTCAACTAGAATTGACTATCAAAGATTTGATAGAGAGAAATACATTCAACCAGTCGACAGAGGATGAATTGGAGCGCCTTGATCAGACCATAAAGGAGAAAGAAACGGAATTAGAAAAGGTAGGTATATATATTTTTTTACCATTTGAATATGTATGGAAATGGTCGATTATTTTCTAAAGTAGGGTTTTTAAATTCTATTATGTAATAATTTGGCAATTATTTTAATTAATCTAAAGATTTCTTTCCTTCATTTGACCTTAGAAATATTAAAAACAGTTATTATAATATCAAAGGAAATTAAATATATGAGTTGATCAAAAATTTCAAAGAAAGCACGTCTCAACCAATATTTAAATGATTTGGGAACGAGGGGAAGAGACAGTTACTGAGTGAGCCGGGCGTTACGCTGTCCGTCTACTCACCGACGCCGATAAAGCGTATCTCGGGAATTTTAAAAGTAATTTTTAAAGTTGTGATTAAATAATAAATATAAGCCAACCGATTTTAAGCATAACTACATAATAATATAAAAATATGCATAAGATACATATGATAATTCGGGACGAAAATGTAAAATTGGCATTTATATGTAAATCAATCAATTATTATTAAACAAAACACTTTAAAATTAAGTTGAAAATATTTACCCATAATTTACAAATCGTACACAAAACTTTACTCTACACATCAAATTTGTTTGGGACTTAAAGAGTCCTAAAAAAACGAGAGCTTTCGCCCCTTGGGCGAAAGGTCTGGACCTTAGTCCGCCCTCAACTGGGAGAGTTTACTCAAGAGCGAATCCTTTCTTTCTGTCTCCTCTCTATATAAACCAAAATTAACGTGATGGTTGTATTTTTTAAAAATGTCACGCTCAATGTCGCCATTGGCTAGATTAATAACCTGATTGTTTATTTTATTTTCATACGTGTCTTACTTTTTAATTTTTAATTTAAAACATTAAAATACTTATTTAGAATTTTTGGTAAATTCTTTAGATTTTCAAATAATAATAATGCTAATTATTACAATTACATTAAAAGCAAATACAATTTAAATCTTTCACAATATCACCATCGGTTAGATGGGCAAAATTTGGTACCTAATCATTCATAAACATCATGCACCGTCAAATGTGTAGCTTTTTGATTGGTTAAAATGTAATCGTCTTTTTTAAATTGTTTCATGCCTATACAGGAGTAAGACAGCGCGATCTTTTAATTTAAATTTATTGACCTATTTAGTTTCTTTGATTTATAGATTATTTTTGTTAAAGAGTTACTTATTTTTTTTATTACTTAATCAGTTTGACCCACCGGGACCGGACTAGCCTTATGAATTAGTGCAATATGTTGGATCTATTTCCAACACAATATTCTATAAATTTAATTCATGTTTTTCATATAGGTAAAGCCGCAATACGACAACATCAAACGACAAGAGGAACAATACACCCGAGAGCTGACGCTAAAAGAACACAGAAGAAATGAACTATACACCAAATTAGGTCGATGCAACATGTTTAACACCAAAGAGGAGAGAAACGAATGGATTAATAACGAATTGCAATCTTTGAATCAACAGTTAAAAGAGAAGGAACGTTGTCACGATAAATTGTACGCGGATTCGAAGAAAGATCAAGAGAAAATCGTCGCGTTGACCAAAAAGATTGATTCGCATTCGAAGGAATCGGAGAAGTTTAAGAAAAATATCGCTCAATGTTATGAGCGCGTTATCGAGTTGCAGAAGAAAAGGGATCAGAATCAATATAACAGAAAGTAAGTTTTTAATAGATATTTTGAAACGAATAATTGCAAAATAGTTTTCTTTTTTAGGTCTTTAAATAACTTTCTTAATTTTTGTTTCATTCAATATCTTTCTCCTGTTATATCCTACTTATTTTTTTTTCCACTACTTCTTTTTAGGTGCACATAATATCCGGCCATTTTTAGGACCTCGTATATGAGGAGCATCGCAAAAGTTCGCGGAATAGTATTCTAGTTTTTGGCCTATAATTTTCTGCAAGATTTCTTTCGCAAAAAAATACATAAATTTGAAACAATTAAAGGTTTTTAATACATAAAAATTTACTTTTAAAAGATAGTGAAGGAATAAATTATGAAAAGATAAGTAAAAAAAAATGTTATGCAATTTAAGTATGTAACCTTTCTCAACTTAAATTAATATCCACTTATAATCAAGGGTAATATACCAAGACCTTGATAATAGTCAGCTATTTTTGTTGAAAATAAATCTCGAGAATATCAATTTGATGAGATATCATCTTTGGAATTAATACTCTGATTAAAGCCCGAGAGCTTTAGCTCTAGGGCTTTAATCAATTGATTATTAATGCCAAAATTGTGTAGAATCAAATTGTAAAATGTTCGAGAAACAACAAAAATAGCAGTGTTATATTTGGGACGACTATTTCACTAGACCATATATTGACTATTTCTCTAGATAAATAGTCGCTGATATTTGGCCTAGGGAAATAGTCAAAGATATGAACCTAAATTAGTATAATATACATTAGTTAACCACTAAATCACTACAAAAAATATTCATAATTGATAAAGCAAAGCTCTAATGCCGCATTTAGTCAAAAATTCACCTTAAGAACGATAAAAAAACGCTTCATAATAAATATAATCTTGCATTAATAGTTTAATACATTGTGAATACCTATTGAAATTTTGTAGAATTATTTATTACTTGTTTAAATAATTATTTTTAGCCCACAAATAGATACGTTTGCCCGAATCGGTCGGTAATAATTTAGAATGTTCGGTAATATTTTTATTTTATGATACATTATCGCGAAAACATTTACCACCTCTTTACCTACCAAATACTTTTCCAACATCTGTCCCTGTTCCATATCAATTATGTTTGCAGCAAACTGTGGACAAAAGAAAACGAACTTGAACAAAAAATTTCCTCCTTGAAATACGACATGTTGAAAATCGATCAAAAACTGCGGGCCGTTACAGGAAAACAAATTCAGAATGGTTGCGACAGCGTTAGAAAAGTCTTGGACAGTTTCAAATCGAGAGGAGGCGACGAAGCGAAAATCGCCGAACAGTACTACGGCACGATCATCGATAATTTGACTTACAGAGACGATACCTCCTTGGCCGTCGATGTGACGGCTGGCAGCAGGTTGTTTAATCACATAGTAGAAAACGAGAACATCGCGACGGCCATATTGAAAGAAATGAACAAGCAGAAGTTGCCGGGCGAGATCAATTTCATGCCGTTGAATCGAATGGATGTGCCGACTGTAAAGTACCCGAGGGAAAAGGTAAGTGAAGCAAATTTCTTCCAGTAATGACTATTATGACATTCCTATATTAAGAGGATGTGTTGAAAAATTACTGGATTTTCATAGAGACCTAATAAACATTTCGTTATGTCAAATTAACGACCTTTAAACCAGGGCTGTGAACCAAAACTTCAAAAAATGCCCTTGCTGTTTTCAATAATAAAAATATAAATAGAATAAAAGAAAATTCAATTATTACTCAACTTCGGACTGACGGAGTTTAGTCGAGAGGGCGGTCCTGTGCAACACTTGGTTGCCCTATCTACGAAACTTCAAAAAATTCCCATACAAAGATAAGCTGTAGAATGTTATGAGAATTCCCGTCTTTTTGTGAACGAGAGCTTTTATCAATTATTTCTACCTCTGGCTTAGCGCCGCTTCGTTGTCGCGCATACGATTCTCTCGACATCGAGCCCAAATGAAATCGCTAATACAAGGTGCATTTGAATAATCCCTTTAAATATTGACTATAAAAATACGAAATGAAAACCGAATCTTATCCGTTTATTGTTTTCGAACCATAACCAAAATAGTTAAACTGAAATGAATCGCATTGAACCTTTAAACAATAAAGAACCTTACCTAAACCTTAGTTTCTTTGAACACTCGCGGTGAGCGGACAGTCCGTCGACCGCTGAGGACAGCAATTTTCGCCCGAGGTGGTTTGTTAAAAAATATAGAAAATGATACTTTCTCTATGTATTATGAATGTTAACGAAAGGTACTAAAATGGATGCAAATAAATTGTTTGCGTTGTTATTATTGTTGGAAGAGGAACTGGCAATTGCAACCGTCAAAGTTTCCAATAAGCCAGTGGATGAGTTGTTTTTGTGTCGCGATACAGAAGGTGCCTTTAATATCACTGTGCAGCGGAGGCTTTTTGGAAATGAAACCAAATTTAGGGAGTATTTTAGACTTTCTATAGATCTTTTTAAATTCGTGTTGAGTTTTATAAAGGACATAATTTCCAAGAAACCTAAAAATAAAGTCATGATGTCATCTGTATGTGTGAATTTGTCACTCATTGTTTTAAAATTAATAACAATATAGTCTCCGCACACGCCGATGATTCCGCTGATATCAAACTCAACAGATATCAACCGACTCTTCGCGACAAATCAGCGGCATGACGCCGTCCTGCTCAGCTAAGCGGATTCAAGAAAACCATTCCCATTTAAATACTCTGGTTGGATAAAATCGTCAAAACGCGACGGTTGACGGACTGTCCGCTCACCGCAACGAAGTGTTCAAAGAAACCAAGGCTTTAGGTATTTGTCGTCGTTCTAGGTAGAGTGACCAGATTTCAGTACCTGTTTGAAACTGCCTAATTTTTTTTATTCACTTTTTAGACAGCAGTACCGATGGTATCGAAACTGACCTACGATAGTAAATATGATAAAGCTATGCAATTTATATTTGGCAGAACCCTAATTTGTGCCAATATGGACGTCGCCAGCAGACTATCCCGCAGCTCAGGTCTCGATTGCATTACCCTCGAAGGAGATAAATTCTCTTCGAAAGGTGAGGATTATATTTTGCTTGAGGCTCTATTTTTACTTCATAATCAATAATCAACCGATTTTGAAAACTTTATCGAGAATAAACTGCATAGGGCAACAACCAAATCGAAAAATAAAAACTATTGTCTTGTCATTGCTAAAAATTAAATGTTAAATTTACTATTTTTTGCTGTATTTTTACTGTTTTTATACTATTTATTTACTATTCATTTACTATTCATTTACTATTCATTTACTATTCATTTACTATTCATTTACTATTCATTTACTATTCATTTACTATTCATTTACTATTCATTTGCTATTCATTTACTATTCGTTTACTATTCATTTACCTATCTATTAACTTTACTCAATTTTCATGTAAAATATTTTCAGATTTTTTTATTATTTTCCCCCATCCTTCTCTATTCTAATTTTTCTTTCATACTCATTTCCTAGTTTAATTCTATTTTTATTTACTGTTCTAATTATGCTTTCATCCTCCTGTATTTGTTTTAAATCTATTTTTATTTTTACACAAATCTTTCTCAATCTCTTTACATTTTTCTTTATCTTCTTTTCTATTTTCATCTTAAATCTTGATTTCTATTTAAAAAAATTATTGACACGTGAACATCTGACATAAACCGCGTTATATTTCAAAATAAATGTTTATTATATTTAAAAATCCATTAGGTGTTATGAGTGGTGGCTACTTCAATCCTTCCAAAAGTAGACTGCACACGTTCAAAACGCACACCGAACTTACCAAACAGCTAAAACAGTACGAGCAGGAACTACTATCCTTGAACAAGGAATTGGACCAAATCGGAACCGTCATCAATGATACTGTTTCTGACATGCAAAAAAACGAAACGGATAAATGCAAATTAAAGGTAACCTTTGGACGTTTATACCAGTTTAAACGTTTATGCCCGTTTGAACGTTTATATCATGTCTAAACGTTTATGTATGTTTACACGTTTATATCCGGTGAGACGTTTATGACAGTTTGGTCGTTTATATTAATCCAAACATATAAATCCCTTTAAATGTTTATATAAATTTGGTTGTTTATATGTCTGGACATGTCATTAAGTTTATATACGTTTAGACGTTGTTATTAGTTTGGACGTCTTTTGGACATTTATATTTGTTTAGACATTTATATCATTTTAGACGTTTATATCAGTTTAAACCATTTATATTCTTTCAAACGTTAATATCCGTTTAATAAGTAAGAATATAACGACCATTTAAATTAGTTTTAAGATCGTTGAGTCTATTTAAACGTTTAAATAATGCACGTTTATGTCTAGTCCATATAAACGTCTAATATCCGTTTGTATGTTTGTCAGTTTGGACGTTTATGTAATTTCGAACCATATATGTCTCTTTAAACATTTATTTTCGTTTATTTTTTTATATCAGTCTGAACGTTTAGTTTGTCTGTAACATTTATTTCCTTTAAACGCTTATATGTTTGAACATTTATGTTTATATCAATTAGGACGTTTATATTAGTCCAAACATATCTGTTTAGTTTTTTATTTAAGTCTGAACATTTGTTTGTCAGTACGTCTATATACGTTCGGACGTTAATGTCAGTTAGAACGTCTATATCAGTTTAAACATTTAATTCCGTTTAGACGTTTTCAATCATTTAATAAGTAAGAATCTTATCAAAAACCAAGAATTACTTTTAAAATCGTGGAGTCTATTTAAGCGTTTATATAAGTTTGCACGTTTATGTCCAGTTTGTTTGTCGGTAACATTTATATCCATTGAACGTTTATATGTCTTGACGTTTATATTCGTCGGTATGATTATATCCGTTTGATAATTAAGAATATCATCGACGAACATTAGATTTCAGATCGTTGAAATATTTATAGAGGTGGTTTTAATTAACAATGGTCATAATCAAATTTTTATAATTTAAAATCTTTGTGTACAGGGTTCCTACGATAAGATCAACGCTGAGCTTCGCTTATATCGTGAAAAACTTTCCAACATTGAGCGTTTTCGCGAATCCAACGAGCAAGCTTTGAATCAATGCAAGATCAGTGTGGAGGCCCTGCGAAGAACCAAAGAGTCTTTGGAATCGGAGCTGGATCAGGAATTGCTGTCGCAGTTGCCCGTTCGCGATCGAGAGGAAATTAAAGCTCTGGACGACGACGTGCAAAAGTTGAAGAAGGATAACAGCGAGGTGGTCAATATTCGCGTGAAATTAGAGACTCTGAAGGATCAGTTGGAGAATTTGCTTACAAACAATTTAAAACGGTTTGTATTTATTTTTAAAACGTTCCGGGTAAGACGTGTTGTTTAGTTAATCTTACAAATAATAAATGAAATTAGTCATCATCAGATGCTGAGTAACATTGAAACTATCGGAAATTACATGCGCGACAAGTAAAGTTTTTACGGAAGCGTAGAAGGGTCACAAAATATTTATTTATACCGATCTGGAATTTGGAAAAAAATCGATTATTCTGGCTTATAACTCGGAAAAGTTGATTATTCCGACCTAGAACTTAATAAAAAATCAATTTTTCTGACTTAAAACTCGAAAAAGTAGGTTATACCGACCTGGAAATTGGAAAAATTCGATTTTACTGACTTAGAATTTGGAAAAGTAATTTATTCTGACATGGAACTCGAAAAAAATCGATTTTTCTGACTTATAATTCGAAAATGTAGATTATTCCGATTTAGAACTCGAAAAAAAAAAAAACGACTTTTCTGACTTAGAATTAGGAAAAGTGGATTATACCGACCTAGAATTTGGAAAAATCGATTATTCTGGCTTAAAACTCGGAGAAGTGGATTATTCCGACATAGAACTCGGAAAAAATCAATTTTATGTGACTTAGAACTCGAAAAAGTGGATTATTCCGACCTGGAATTTGGATAAAATCGATTATTCTGACTTATAATTCGGAAAAATGGATTATTCCGATTTAGAACTTGGAAAAAATCGATTTTTTTGACTTAGAACTCGAAAAAGTGGATTATTCCGACCTAAAATTTGAAAAAAATTGATTATTCTGGCTTATAATTCGGAAAAGTAGACTATTTCGATCTAGAACTCGAAGATAATCGATTATTCTGACTTAGAACTCAGAAAAATGGATTATTCCGATCTAGAACTTGGAAAAAAATCGATTTTTGTGACTTAGAACTCGAAAAAGTGGATTATTCCGACCTGAAATTTGAAAAAAATTGATTATTTTCTGACTCGGAACTCGAAAAAGTGGATTATTTCGACCTGGAATTTGGAAAAAATCGATTATTTTGGCATATGATTCAGAAAAAGGATTAATCCAACCTAGAATGTGAAAAAAAAATCGATTTTTGTAAATTATAATTCGGAAAAGTGGATTAGTCCGACTTAGAACTCGCAAAAATCGATTTTTCTGACTTGTAATTCAAAAAAGTAGATTATTGCAATACAGAACTCGGAAAAAAACAATTTTTCTGACTTAGAACTCGAAAAAAAATTGATTTTTGTGACTTAGAATTCGAAAAAGTGGATTATTCCGACATGGAATTTGGAAAAATCGATTATTTTGACTTATAATTCGAAAAGTGGATTATTCCGATCTAGAACTCGGCAAAAATCGATTTTTCTTATTAATAACTCAGAAAATCGGATTATTGCGACCCAGAACTCGGAAAAAATCGATTTTTCTGACTTAGAATTTGGAAAACAGATTATTTCACTATATTTAATGTTGTCTGAAAAATAAATTGACAGATTCGTTTTTGTTTATACGGTTGGATTATATTTTTCTCAAGCTTTAATTTATTGTATCACAAAGTATAGGGGTTGCCATTTATCATTTTTAATAAACGTTACGATTCATTTTTTTGTTTCGTCAAATCCAAAATTATTTTGATTGTCTGATTTTGAAATGAAGCACTATATATATTTTTTAGACGTAGAGAAGCCCTTTTAAAGACTCTCGATGAAATATCTCTACAACAACGTCAAATCGTCAATAAAAATGCCGAATTAAAAGAAATTGACGACAAAATCAAACAAAATAATAAAAAAATAGAGAGCTTTGGTAACAAAATCGAGGAATTCGTCGAAAAAGTAAGCAGAAAACTTTTATAAAATCACATTAATTTACTTATCACTGTTTTGCAGACGGCACTCGAACGAAAAGAGTTGGAAGAACGAACGAAGAAAATGAACATTTTACAATATAAAATCAACGAAGTGACTGAACTGTTGGAAAAGTTCGCGATGCGACGATATATGCTGGAACAGAAAATTTCCAAAACCGAAAAGGACATTGAGCAATTGGGAACTTTGCCCAGAGAAAATTTGTATTCTAAATATGCCCAAATGCCTTCTAAAGATGTAAGTAAATGAAACGTCACTCGAATTAACTTTAATATAGTTGTGACGGCGAAATCCGTACATTGTAGATAAGTACAATCGAATTATAAAATAAAATGAAAAAAACATTTTTTTTTACCACAGTATTTTTAAAATTGAGTAGTTTAGGGTCTACGTCTATATTATGAAATTTTGTTATAAAATTGAGTAGTACTTGGCACATTTTTTACTTCTAAACTCTCTAATTAAATAAATTAAACTTTTTGAGACAAAACGAAAACGAAATTTTGGGTTATGATGTCCAATGAGACGATGTCAATTCGAATTTCAAGTATAGACGCGAGAGTTCGAATCATAACATCGAGTCCGATCTGTTACAGATAAATCCTTGTGTCACAGAAGGGACGACGTCCACCAATTCTTCGTTAGGAACCACACTTAAGAAATTAAAACTCTTAAAAGTCATGAAATGTTTATATTCGGTAACAGCGATTAAATATTTTATCGACTCCCGTGTATCCTACTGACTGCGCCAATTAGAAATTCAAAAGCGGTACTTTTAACATTTTTATCCAGTTTCAATATACACTTAAATGTCAATCAAGACAACTGTGTAAACGAGTTACCTCAAAAATAATGTTTTACTCCTATTTACAAATTAAAAAATGATGATTTAGCAAATAAATATAATAGAAGAATCTATATATTTACAATTGTTTTATCGAATCCAGAAAAATTTTGATGCACGATTAAAAAACATCCTAACAATAACATTCTTGGATTTTCGTTTGTTTTCAACGGTACTTCCTGTATCGTGTTATATATTTTTATTTCTACGCTTTATCATATATGTTTTACATTTAATTTTTTCAGTTATTTCTCGAACTGAAAAAGACGAACAAAAAATTGAAAGAGTTCAGCCACGTCAACAAAAAGGCGAACGATCATTACTTGAGCGAATTGGAGATAAAGAAAAAGCTGCTATGTGAGAAATTAGATTTGGTCAAAAGGTAGGTTTCAATTATTTTTTTGACTTATAATTCGAAAATGTGGATTAAACCGACCAGGAAATTGGAAAAAGTCGATTTTTGACTTATAATTCGAAAATGTGAATTAAACCGACCAGGAAATTGGAAAAAATCGATTTTTCTGAGTTATAATTCGAAAAATGTGAATTATTCCTTTCTAGAACTCGGAAAAAATCAATTGTTCTGACTTAGAACTCGGAGAAGCAATTTATTCCGACATGGAACTCGAAAAAAATCGATTTTTTTTACATATAATTCGAAAATGTGGATTATTCCGGTCTACAACTTGGAAAAAGATGATTTTTCTGACTTTGAACTCGGAACAGTGATTTATTCCGATATGAAACTTGAAAAAAATCGATTTTTCTTACTTATAATTTGAAAATGTGGATTATTCCGATCTAGAACTCGGAAAAAAACAATTTTTACGGGTCAAAACCCATTTTACAGATTAGTATATAAAGTTCCATAACAAATGTAAAATGACTGACATTACAATGAGTTATAAACTACTAAGTAAAAAAGAAATATAAATTAAAAAAAAAAACTAGAAAATATATAACAAAATATAACATATTAATATTTTTTATAGCTCTTTTAAAAGCAGGAAGAGAATTATGGACAATATCAATATTCTGATGTTTGTTAGCTAATCGTAAAATTCTGGGTATTGTCTCATTTTGTCCGTAGTTAGTGTGATAAAAAGGTACACGAAATAGTTCAACATTCCGCGTACGTCTTTCATTTACATTGAAAAGTATCAACTTCAATAGTTCGGAATGGGATATACCATTTAAAATTTTATATAAAAACAAGTCAAATTCTATTCTCCTGTGCTCCAATGTTTGCATGTTTAATTGAATAACTTAAACTTACACTTAGAATTCAGAAATGTGTAATATATCGACCTGGAAATTGAAAAAATATCGATTTTTCTGACTTAGAACTCGGAAAAATGATTTATTCCGACATGGAACTCGGAAAAATCGATTTTTGTGACTTGTAATTCGAAAAAGTAGATTATTTCGATCTAGAACTCGGAAAAAGATGATTTTTCTAACTTAGAACTCGGAACAGTGAATTATACCGACCTGGAATTTAGAAAAAATCGATTATTTTGACTTATAATTCGAAAATGTGGATTATTCCGATCAAGAACTCAGAAAAAAACAATTTTTTATTTATTTATATTACAGTAAGTTATAAACTACTAATTAAAAAAGAAATATAAATAAAAAGAAAATAAAGAAAAAGTAAATTATTCCGATCTAGAACTCGGAAAAAATCGATTTTTCTAACTTAGAACTCGGAAAAAATCGATTTTTCTAACTTAGAACTCGGAAAAGTGAATTATTTTGATCTGGAATTTGAAAAAAATCGATTAATCTGGTTTATAACTCGGAAAAGTGGATTATTCCGAACTAGAACTTGAAAAAAATCAATTTTTCTGACCTAGAACTCGAAAAAGTGATTTATTCCGATCTAGAACTTGAAAAAAATCGATTTTTCTGACTTATAATTCGAAAATGTGGATTATTCCGATCTAGAACTCGGAATATACAATTTTTCTGACTTAGAACTCGGAAAAGTTGATTATACCGACCTGGAAATTAAAAAAAAATCGATTTTTCTGACTTAGAACTCGTAAAAGTGATTTATTCCGACATGAAACTTGAAAAAAAATTATTTTTCTTACTTATAATTCGAAAATGTGGATTATTCCGATCTAGAACTCGGAAAAAAAACAATTTTTCTGACTTAGAACTCGGAAAAGTTGATTATACCGTCCTGGAAATTCTAAAAAAAATCGATTTTTTTGACTTAGAACTAGGAAAAGTGATTTATTCCGACATGGAACTCGAAAAAATCGATTTTTCTGACTTGTAATTCGAAAAAGTAGATTATTCCGGTCTAGAACTCGGAAAAATCGATTATTCTAACAGACATAAAGAAAATAGTTTGGAAAGTTTCTGTTTTTTTAATGGTTGCAAGTAACCAACCCTGGATCACTTCAAATGGATTGACCCAACTACTTTTACAAATGCTAAATCCTTAATTTTAGTGAGGAAAAACTCAACGAACTGATATCCGTGATAGATCAGAATAAAACGGACGCCATCCTTTTCACTTTCAAACAGATCTCTAAGTACTTCAAGGTCATATTCAAACAATTGGTACCGACCGGTAGGGCCAGTATCGTCATGCAAGTGAAAAATCCCGCTGAAGATGAGTCCGATACGAGCGACGATAATTTCACCGGAATCGGCATAAAAGCTTCATTTATAGATGCCGAAGTCGAAACGAAAGATATCAATAAATTGTCAGGCGGGCAGAAATCTTTGTTGGCCCTGGCTTTGATTTTTGCCATACATAAATGCGATCCTGCGCCTTTCTATTTGTTCGACGAAATCGATCAGACTTTGGATTCTTCTTATAGGTATGTACAAATTTATTTAAAAATATCATTTTTTATTTATTAACAGACACTTCAAAAAGGGACGTTCTCAATTCGCTTGAATATATTTTTTTATGTATGTATGTATGTTCAGCCATAATTTTCTACCACGTTGTCCGATTATAAGATTCTTTTTTTGTTAGAACCATTTTTTGTTTATCAAATCTATATTTAAATTTATATTAATTAAGTCAGTAAAATCAATAACACCGTTAAAAAAGTCGTGGAAATCTTATACAATGAAAGTAATCACGTTCTTACAATTAAATTCCGAGTGAGTTTGGATTATCTGCTTGATATTTGATCTGCTTACTTCCTAGCGAAGTCTTTAAAGTAATATTTGCAAAATAAGTTGTGTTTGGAAAATATTTTTCTACAATAGCTGGTTTTATTTTGGATTTTGAACTTCCATTGTCAATTAACAATTTAATTAGCGAATTTTTAATTTCTACATAGGGTAAATGATTATATTATTGTTTATTTCTATTACGTATTTGCTTCTGAAAATTTTTAAGTTGTTAAGTTTCATTTTCTGATTCATTTTCATAATTAAATTATTATACTTTACTATACATTTGCCATTCATTTTCTAATTGATTGAATTGCAGAAGAGCCGTGGCTAATATGATTCACGAATTGTCAAATCAAGCGCAGTTCATAACGACCACCTTCAGTCCAGAATTTCTGGAACACGCCAATAAATTCTATGGAGTAATGACCAGGGATAAAGTTAGTTATATAGGGTGCGTGACCAAGGAGGCCGCGCTGAACTTCATTGAAGGCAGTCCGGAGGGACAGGATTAATATTGATTTTTTTTAATAATTTACATAACATTTGATTGCCATAACTATAGTCGATAGGATCAAGCAGTGGTCGATGTTTAAAAGACTGAAAGTTTAGAATAGTCATTTTTTTTCTTCAGATGGTCCAAATTGTTAAGACATTAAAAATGTTCGGCATAAATAGACTATGAGCTACAGAATCTGTAAGTTTTTACAGATTTTGGCTTACAGAATTTATAGATTGTATCAGAATTGACTCATTAATACAGTTTTAACAGGTTAAGGTTCATTTGTACCGCTAGTTAAAAAGTATAAACATAAAGTGACATTTTTCCAACAAGAATGTCATTTTAATCATCGCTTATTTCTTAAAAACTAGCAGTACAAATTGCCCTAAAGCAATTTTTTAAAATATATCAGATCAAATACTCAATTTTCCTAAAAAAAATCAAGTAATGCCCTTTCAAGCGCCGACCATATAGCAATGAATTTGTTTTATGAGTGTAATATTTATTATATCAAGTTTATTTGTAGGTATAAGTTTAATAATTTTGATAATTTAATGTGTTCTATTCCTTTTATGGGATAATTTATAAAAGCTTTCATTTTAATATTATTTCCCATAACTAGTATAAAGGACCAATACTCTTTAATCAATTTGTTTAATAAGAATAATAATTATTATATAAAGTTTGTTTATAGTTATAATTGTTTAAATACATTAATTATTTAATTTGAAAGATTTTATTTTATTATTAAATATTAATTTTTTTTAATGAATGCAAAATTTAAGATCTCCTGTACTACAATATAATACCACGTATTTATTAATTACTTTTATTTAAAAACATTAAGTTTGAGCGAAATTTAGTCTTTTATATAACAATATTTCGTTAATTTGTTTAAAAAATGCACCAATCTGAGGACTTCCGGAATATTTATCTGATATTCTGCATATTACAGCACAACCTGTATAACAATATAATAAATACCATTCAGAAAATGAAATCAACGAAAGTTTGTATAGCGTTACAATAACAAATTGAGGACATACTGTATACCATTTAAAAAAATAAATGAACTTAAATTATAGAACCTTCTGTATAACAAACTAATATTCTGACTATTAAATAGCTTTAGTTTAAAAAATTAAGAATAAGTACGCGATTTTTGAGACATCTTGTATAAAAATTTAACAACTGGTATATTAAAACAAATACCGTTCAAAAAATTAAACGAAACTATATAAAACGATACTCTGTATATTTATTAAAAGCAGAGGACTTGCTGTTTAACATTCTCTTAGTTTAAAAACTAAAAATCAGCAGAAATTGAGACATCCTATATAATATAAAAAATTTTGTACAGCCTGTATAACACACCTTTATTAAAAAAAAATCAAATTAAAAGCGAATTATAGGACTTCCTGTATAACAAATTAACATTCTGGCTATTAAGAACCTATTTTTGGATTCATCCAGTATAACAATTTAACACGCCTCATATGTAAATACCTGTAAAAAATGGACATTCATCGAAATTTGAGTTATCCTGTTCAAAAATATAAATAACGAGAATTATTGGTACATCATGTATAACAATTTAACATTTTTTATATGATATACTTTTAGTTTAAAAAAGTCAGTAAAAAGTGAGACATTCTATATAACAATATAATTGGACGCACATTTTAAGTCAGTCTTTATAATGATATATAACAATTTTTCTGACTTAGAACTAGGAAAAGTGGATTATTCCGATCTAGAACTCGGAAAAAACGATTTTTCTGACTTAGAATTTGGGAAAATGGATTATTCCGACCTGGAACTCAAAAAATTGATTTTTCTGACTTATAACTCGGAAAAGTGAATTATTCCGTCCTGGAATTTAGAAAAAAATGATTATTCTGACTTATAACTCGGAAAAATGGATTATTCCGATCTAGAACTCGGAAAAAACGATTTTTCTGACTTAGAATTCGAAAAGTGGGTTATTCTAAACTGGAATTTGAAAAAAATGGTAATTCTGACTTATTACTCGAAAAAATGGTTTATTTCGACCTGGAACTTGAAAAAAAAAGATTTTTCTGACATAGAACTCAGAAAAATGGATTATTCCGATCTAGAACTCGGAAAAAACGATTTTTCTGACTTAGAATTTGGGAAAATGGATTATTCCGACCTGGAAATCTGAAAAAATGGATTTTTCTGACTTATTACTCGGAAAAGTGAATTATTCCGTCCTGGAATTTAGAAAAAATTGATTATTCTGACTTATAACTCGGAAAAATGGATTATTTCGATCTAGAACTCGGAAAAAACGATTTTTCTGACTTAGAATTCGAAAAGTGGGTTATTCTAAACTGGAATTTGAAAAAAATGGTAATTCTGACTTATTACTCGAAAAAAGAGGTTTATTTCGACCTGGAACTTGAAAAAAAACGATTTTTCTGACATAGAACTCGGAAAAATGGATTATTTCGATCTAGAACTCGGAAAAAAACGTATTTTCTGACTTAGAATTCGGAAAAGTGGGTTATTCTAAACTAGAATTTGAAAAAAATGGTAATTCTGACTTATTACTCGAAAAAATGGTTTATTTCGACCTGGAACTTGAAAAAAAAAAAACGATTTTTCTGACATAGAACTCGGAAAAATGAATTATTCCGATCTAGAACTCGGAAAAACGATTTTTCTGACTTAGAATTTGGGAAAGTGAATTATTCCAACCTGGAACTCTGAAAAAATGGAGTTCATTTTTACATACTACGTAAAAAAATGAGATCCTGCATAGTATTAATTTTATAATTATAATTTATTTTTGCCAAAAAATAAATACAGCTGCCACTTTCCCATAGAATTCAGAAAATTCTGCAAACTTTTTTCAATTGATTAGTTAGTTTTTAATAGAGGCGAAATAAATCCACATATTGTTGTATCAATTAAACTTTATTGCTAATACGTTTTTTTTATAAAAAAATACTTTTGTTTTTAGGTACGAGTGCGATTATATTCAACTGGATTTTCGTTACAATAAAATATATATAAATAATTAAAAACACGTATGGTACAATTAATGATTAAAATTAAAACAAATAACCGTAAACGTTTTAAAAAACTGGCGCAACTCTGTCTCTTCTAAAACTCCTAAATCTAAATAAAAACAGTCTGTTCATTAAAGATCATGATCCCATCCTCTGTCGGAATTTCTTGAGGAAATCTTTGGCTTGCCTGTCGCCTTGCCTTTGCTCCAAAGCTTTCACTTCGTCCAATGCTGGAAAATTAATATAAATCAATTTTTTAAAAGGGTGCTGTCTGGCTATATCTCGGAAACCGTTTATAAAATCGTCCAAAAGACATTTTTAATTTTGTTTTTACTTTAAATTCTTACAAAAATAAATTATTTTCATAAAAAATCTATATTATTTTAAATTTAACCTTCAGGAAGACCAAATCATACTTTTATTATCTACAGACTATCACTTTGATTCGCATTTGCTTTTTTCTGGTAGTTAAGATTTTTTTAATTTTGATTCTTGTACAAAATAATTTTTTGATTAAAGTATTACGAAAAGTCAGTGTCAGTATTCACTGGTGAAACAAATAGGTTATGGGCCCAGGTTATACATACTATAACTATTATTTTTCATAAATATCGTTAAAGCAGTTTCATATATTACCCTCACTCTGTATGTGCGTAAGGAATCCAAAAAATGATAAAAAAATACTTACTGAAATCTACAGGCCGGTCCAGTTGCAAATGAACTTGAGGTAAACATGTTATATACTGTGTAGTGTCTTCTATATCGCTAAATGCTAAAAATGCTTCACCAATGTACTGGTTATTGTATCCTAATAAATCTTTATCCTTAACACTAAACATGATTAATCCATCGTCGATTTGTCTTTGATCACAGGTTAAGTTACTGCAACAAATAAATATCAAAATTATTTACTAATTAACACCACAGTGATTGATATTAAACATATTTGAAAGTATGTAGAATCTTGAAACTTGTTCTAAAGAAAATCTCGAAAAGAGAGGGGAAACAACAACAATATGTTTACCATGATTTAGAAGGGTTTCTCTCGAATGACAAGTGACATTTTTATAAAACCTTCTGATGACTAATGATCGATGACATTGCGGAAATAATCAACTTAACCTCAATATCTAAATGTTTTTTACATTTTTAAATATATAAACCTCAAAAATGAAGGTTTAAAATTAATTTTACTTAAAAAATTATCTTCAATATTTCACAATTAAATTAGTAGAGAAAATACGAAGATCTATCATGTAATTTTACCGCTAAGCTCCTCTAACTATCGAAAAAGTAGGGTTAGAACCAGTATCGCAAATTTTTATAAAATATTTAAACTTACAATGTAAACTGCTCATCATACAAAGGAAACTGAGTCTTGTTATGCGTTTTACTCTTCGGTTTCTCCGTTCCGATGAACTTATGTTCTGGTAGAAGATGAACCCTTATAAAAGAATCGCAAGAACCTAAAAACAAAATAAAACAAATTTAAACATACAGACTTTTGTTAATAATATTGCAGTCGTACCATTCGAATCCATCGCCATAAGATTTCTGCCGTTGATAAGTTCTACTGTTAAAATTGTATCTTGAAATTTGGCTCTTACTGAAATCTCGCCGTATGGAGAATCTTTTGTTTCTTTGAATTTCTCACACATCTTCTTGTGTACCTAAAAAATTAAGAGGTTGGTAATAAAAGCGTGCGTTCTATCTGTAGACACAATAAATATAAAAAAGAATTGTGTTGAATCCTTCAACATAATAAATTTAGAGTATTTGGGAACAAAAAGTTCTCAGTCCAACTCTGGCTCGACTAGAATTCTCGAGGTCATTACGCAATCCACGTCACGAGTCATTGGTCAACGTTATTACGTTAGCCTCAACTCGTTCACCCGCTTTGTTCGCGCCACTGTTACTAATAGCATTTTCGATTCCACTGCCCTGTCTGCGGGAAGTGCACATTAAAAATGAGCGATATATCGATACCGGTTAATTTTTGGAGTGAAAAGTAACTGGTATCGACATATCTCCCACCTTTCGTATGTTCTCAGAGCAAGCCGAGCAGTAGAATCGAAAACGCTATAAAATAGTCATTTAGACCACAAGCGTTTTCGTGATAAGAAGAGACGCTGTGCCCGCCATTATGTAACGTTTCATTTCTCATGTAATATGGCTTAAAGTAACAAATGTCCTAGAGAAATGGTGTAAATAATGCAAAAACTGTTTATTCATAAGCAAATCATTCCATTCGTGTTTTAAAAATAAAAGTATCTAACCAGAGGTAATCTTTTAATCCAAGTATCTACATCTTCCAGACCTATGGAACACACAGGTATTTCAAACTTTCTTATTTCTACAATCCATGAATTTAATTAAGGGCCAAATATCGGCCCTATGGCAAAAAAACAGCGGTAGTAGCCTATATATCGTTGTGACCGCTATAATATGAATAAAATAGAAAAAAAAAACACTTACTTCGTGTATTAAATCAGCAGTTTCCAACCCGTGTATCCGTAAAAGATGTTCGGTTCTCTTCAAGGCATCACAGTTATAAAATTGGCCTGGGTTTTTGAACGAACCCAACATCAAATTCAAAGTTTTCGCAGATTAGCGAAAAACGAAGGCGGTCTCCTTTTCTGAAAGATCAAAAAACCATTGAAAATTCAGAAACAAACCTCAAAAATCCCCCTACGAATTATTTAGACCATCCCCGAACCTTAAAGGTGAAAACACATACTTGAAGATTTGAGAAAAGCCTGTCGCCGTTAGGATTCGAACCCAGACATCAATCAACCATTACTTTAAACCGTTTAGAAGAATGATACTTACGTCTACATTGGTCTGTATAATTTCCCTTAGGGTTTCCCCCAACATATCCAAACTATCTCGAGCGTCCTATTGAAATTTTCATCGTTTAATTCCCTGTGGAGGGTACTTAAATTGTTGTCGACGTACATCATCAGTCTATCTACGCTGTTGCAATCTTGTTCGCACAATTCGGCGCCTTCGATTAGCAGACGCTTCATTGACGGCGCCATCTAGGAAAATATTTAAAATAAATTAATCATTTTTATATGAACTAATGGAGAGATCAATGTAAATATATTCATTCAAAGTTAGTCTGTTATTAACGTTGACCCCTGGAATGTTTCCGATATCTTCAACTGAAGCTGCCCGAGCCCCTTCACAAGCTGTATTGAAGAAGGGTTGTGAAGCAAAGTACCTAAATAAAACTGGCGCCCGAGGATTCTCCCAATCAAAAGTAAGTATCACTGTCTTTGATGAAAGTAAGCCTCTTACAGGTGCTTTCTTAATTTAAACGTTTTATTGTATTGTTTGCAGTTAAATAAGAACCAAATTTTTATTCGCCCTGTATGTAAATAAATAAAAAAAATTATATCGCTGAATACAGAATTCAAATACCTTTCAAATGAGGCTATTTCTGTTTCAAAATGTTTTTAAAAAATTTGGTAGGTTCCATAATTTAGCCGCTCACTGTATATGAGTTGCGTTTATTTAAGATTCACGCCCCTCCATATTTTTAGAACAGGGTTGCCAACATTGCGGCGAGACTAATCCGAAGAAAAAATAATTTTGTTTAGGAATGTTTTTATTGTTTAACTGTTTTTGCGGTTTTTACTGTTTTCTTTTCTATTTTTTGCAGTTTTTACAGTTTTTTAAATTACTGTTTTTGACGGTTTTATACGGTTTTGAATTTTTTACTGGTTTTTTAATGTTTTTTACTGTTATTTACTGGTTTTTTAATGTTTTCTTTTCTGTTTTTTAGTTTATTTCTGGTTTTTACTGGGTGTCTACTGTTTTTTACTGTTTTTTTGACTATTTTTTTTTACCGTTTTTTAATGTTTTTGACGGTTTTATACTGTTTTGAATTTTTATTGCTTTTTTAATGTTTTTTACTGTTTGCGGCGAGGCTAATCCGAAGAAAAAGTAACTGTTTTTTTACTGTTTTTACCGTTTTTTAAAACTACTTTTTACTGTTTTTGACGGTTTTAAACGGTTTTGAATTTTTAACTAGTTTTTTTACTGTTTTTACAGTCATTTTACTATTTTTCTTTTACTGCTTTTTACTGTTTTTCATGTTTTTACTATTATTTTACTGTTATTTACTGTCTTTTTACTGTTTTTTTTTAAATGTTTTTTTACTGTTTTTCTTTTATGTTTTTCTTTAACTGTTTTTTATTGTTTTTAAGTGTTTTTTTACTGTTTTTTTTGTTGTTGTTTTGCTGGTTCTCACCTTTGACACGACAGTTTCCAACAATTCGATAATCTTGTTCCTAACGGTATCGATGGCGTTGGCGATAACGTTCTCCAAGGTATCTTGACACCGTTGCGCGTCCAAGGGGCTTTTAATATCACAGATTTTTTGTATAATTTCAGTCATGCCCAGATCTCTGGTGAACGGTTCCAAAGTTTCGCGAACGTAGTCGATATTGTTGATAGCCAGACACCATTCGTTGGTAACTTCGAATTTCTTCTCGTAAATGTTTTGCGTGTCGCCCAAACCTTCGACTTTAGCTGCCATCTTGTCTGCGTAGAACACCGAACATCGACATATGTCCTAAAATGATCAAATGCTGTATTAAATCTGGTATTTATTTAAATAGTGGCTGTATACTTACATCGATAATTTTAGCGATGAAGGTGTAGCAGCCTTCTTCGTCGGGCCAGTTGAGTTGTTGCCAGAAGACTTTGACCTATTATAGAAAAGTTATTTTATTTTGTAGCCTTTAAAATAAATATATTGAGACAGACTGTAAATAATAAACAACCGTACAGTCATAAAAAACCACCCCAAAGTCCAGGCTGTTGGTTCCAAATCCAAAATTTACCTTCCATACCATTTTTTTATACTTAATATACATAAAAATCAATTCAGTTGCTCTTTGTCTTCTCCCCCCCCCCCCCCCCCCCCTCAAAGTGAGCCTTAGTACGGCCCTGACTGCTTAAAAATACTAGAGGTAATGTATCGAAATTATAATTTTATGTATCAAAATTAAAATCTATTTGAATATTTCTAAAAAATACATGTTTTATAATAATTTTTGAATCAAGTCGTCTATGATTTTTGACTATCCAATCAAAAAATTTCTTGCATAAAGATGGTGGCTTGTGAGCAATTTTATTGCTTCTCTAGGAGAGTCTTCCCCTCTTTCCCGCGCTAAATTTTATAATCAACACCTACTCCTCCAGAGGGGGGAAATTCTTCACTTTTAATTGGCTTTGACAGCGCCAGTCTGGACACTTTCTAACACATGTCAATTTTTAGTTTGTATTTTACGAAAAATATAATTATTTAAAGCGTTGTAGGGGTTGTAAACATGATTTATGTGTAAAAGAACTGTTGAAAAGGCTTCAAGATTATATCACAAGTAAGTACAAACACAACCTAATTATCGGTGGCGATGCATAGGAAATCACTTTTAATTTGCAATTACACTTTCTAATTTTCATGGCGAAAACTTAAAATTAAGACGGAATAAACCCCAGCTAAGTTCCGTCTTCATCATAATGATTACAGTAAAGGTTAAATACTTATTGACATAAATAAAGAAAATTGGAACATGTGGCTTTATTTTAATGTTACATCGTTATAAAGTTTATTGTAGGTTTTCTTATAAAATTAGCTTTCAAATGAAGTATCACTCTTTACCATAGGTAATAATTTTTTGGCCCGCTAGAGGGCGCTAAAATTAAAAGGAACGCAATAAACAGTCATTTTGCTGAATTTCTCATAAAATTACCTTTCCGACGGTGTGTCATACTTGGTACTTTACCTATTTAAATTGTATTGATTAGATTGACGTAGGGGAGAGGAATGACATATGACAGTAGAGGATATTATAGAAAGGTGTCCCCTTTGTTATAAAAATCGACCTGTTTTTGCGTTTCTTTCAAAAAATTCTACTTCAAGATATTGTGAGATACGGTCGGTCGCCATCCTTAATGAATCACCCTGTACATGTACATGTAAAATTAAAAGGAACGCATGAACAGTCATATTGCTGAATCCCCCATAAAATTACCTTTCCGACGATATGTCATACTTGGTACTTTACCTATTTAAATTCTATTGATTAGATTGACGTAGGAAAGAGGAATGACATATGACAGTAGAGAAAGGTGTCCCTTTTGAAATAAAAATCGACCATTTTAGCGTTTCTTTCAAAAAAAATTCTACTTCAAGATATTCTGAGATACGGCCGGTCGCCATCCTTACTGAATCACCCTGTACATATTTTCGACTATTAAATTTTAATCGTAAGTGACTAACCAACTCTTATATTGTTCCTATTAAAATTAAGGATTATTGTATTACAGGCCTGAAGATGGCCATCTAGTCGTTCCTGTATTTATTTATAATAAAATTATTGATGTAGTACTGATTTTGAGGTTTTATTTTTTAATTGTAAAAATTAGACTTCTTTTACAATTAAAAAATGATACGCCACTGCACTGTACCCGCTTCCACACAACAAACGTCTAGAGTGCAAACTCGCTTCACACTCCCTCTAGTTGTAATTCGTCTATGATATTCAAATAACCAATCAAATACTTGGATTAGAATTATAAGATGGTGGGCTATTTATGAGTGATAACGCGATTTAAAAAACTTTTTCATAAGTTATTTTAGTGAATACGTGCTAGTTATATTAAAAATTATTTGTCCTAATCAAGGTAAGTTCATTAGGTATTAATTATAGATATTGAAACAATATATTTGATAAAGGTTTAGCCCTAATAAATACCTAGATTTATTTGATAGGTACCTACATCAATTTTTCGTAAATCGACAACTAATTTTGCTTGCCTAAGTTAAGTGTATCATTCTGATTGATTAGTGAGTAGGTATCTATGGATAAATCAATTTTATTACGATAAATTGCCAATATTTATCTCTTTAATTGCACCTATTATTGAATGCATTTATTAATCATTTTGGTGTTGATATCACTTTAGTGCCACAAAATTACACATATTTGATGTTTTAAATAGAACTACAGATAGATGTTTCATGATTTTTGGAAAAAAAATTGCTGATTATAGTCAAAATTAAATAAATATGACCTTTTCCAAGGTAGAACTATTTTTTATCGCGGATGTTGAAAAGTACCAACAACCTGTCAAACAATAGCTGCTAGTGCTGAGGGGGTTGCGACACAGCCTTCCATCTTTATGCTATTTTTATTTGAAATAGTAATATAGTCGCCAAGCCTACTAATTTATAGAAAATGTATATCGGTTTTTTTTTAATAAAATTTTCATTTTGTTCTACAGAAACTAATTAAATTTAATCCATTATTTATGATTTCACGTATTATAGATAGTCTACACCGTATGTCGCAACCCTTTATTTAAACATACAAAATCTTAGCGTAGTAATTTCGCGGATGCTCTTCGTGTGCGGTCGTAAAGAATTTGATTTTGTGCATCGCCATTTTACCTGTTTGTATTTTTATTACTTTTTTTGCTTTACGTATAAGCCCAAAAGCTGTGATGAATTTGGGGAAGGTGTTTAAGGCAGCTAGAAACTATTTAAAAGAAACGGTAAGTACCTTATGTTAATGAATATGAAAACGAGAGTTTGCCAGGGCATTTGCGGTTATTTTGCTACTGCTAGTATGACATTCACAAAAATTTATCCCAAGAAATATGTTTCAAGTAACTTGGAATTATTTAAATTTTTTATTTTAGTATTTATAGAATCTAAAAACAAAAATGCCAGACTATTTTGTAGGCACGTTTAAGTTTTTTATGCCAAAAAAGTTTAGACTTAGGTATCGGACATGATACATAAAATCTGCATAGACTCTTGAGTAGGATCCAAAAATGTATAATATGTAGGGTGTTGTAGTAACTTCTATAGTAAATTTGCGGAAAAACCACTATTTTTCGGGAAAATTGTAATTAAAGATCTTAATTTTGAAGGTTATGATTTACAAATTCTGTCTTGGAAATTGGAAACAACAACGTTGCCAAATTGTAAATTAAATTACAAATATCAAAGAAATCTGAAATTAATAATTATCTACGATTAAGTGAGAAATATTTTGACAAATGTGTACAGGGTTGCCAAGTATTTTGATATATAAGAAGATATATCTAATTTTGCCAAACAAGCTTAGACTTAGGTATCTGATATAATACATAAAATCTGCATAAAATCTTGAGTAGGATTCAAAAATATATAATATATAGGGTGTTGTAGCAACTTCTATAGTAAATTTGCGGAAAAACCACTATTTTTCGGGAAAATTTAATTAAAAATCTTAATTTTGAAGGTTATGATTTACAAATTCTGTCTTGGAAATTGGAAACAACAACGTTGCCAAATTGTAAACGAAATTACAAATATCGAAGAAATCTGAAATTAATTATCTACGATTAAAAAATATTTTGACATATGTGTACAGGGTTGCCAAGAATTTTGATATGTAATAAGATATATCTAATTTTTAAACTATGATACTTTTATGATTTATTATTTACTTGTTTTAGTAATATATTAGAACATACGTACAGTTCAAAATATTTTTAATTAGAGGGTGATTCACAAATGTATGTGGGTAGTTTTTTTTTGCAAAATTTCATTCTACTGTGACGTTAGGGAAGCATATGTTCAAAAAGTACTACTCAATATAGTATTTTGGCTACAAAATATTGCATAGTACACACTTATTATACAGAGTATTTTATAGAGAGAACCACAACATAAAATTAATTTTTTTTAAGGATTAATTTAAAATTATGTACTTGATTTTTTGAAATGATAATACCACTAAAATATATTTACATCTGAACTTCAAAATATACAAGGTGATTTATTTATTGGGGTCCCCTGAATCCGTTTTTACTATTTTCACGATGATGTGTGTCTGTATCCTCGATAACTCATGAACGGATACAAAGAAAAACACAAAATTTTAAACTTAAGCTTTATTATTTCGGCATGCGGTGAACCGATTATATTTTGGACAGAGCCGGAACATCTGGGGGTTCGTTTTTATATTTTATGGAATATATCGGGCACGGTGGTGTAGCGGTCTATCGCGCTTATATTCATTTATAGGCAAGTTTATGAATCTGAGACTGCTGGGTTTCGAATCCCAGACCAGACCATGTGGATTTTTAATTAAATTGCATGGTTCGGTTTAGGATTTGATGTGTGGCGTATTAATAGAAATTCAATTTCTGTTGATATGACATGCAGATTAAAAAAATTCGCCATACATTACCGTCTCGATGATGGTGGGTGAGGTTTTCCGGGTTTTCCTCACCTGTAAGTCAAATGGCACCATCAATCATCTTTAAGTCGCCCCGGAGCGCCACGGCAAATAATAATAATAGCCGTCCCTTTCCCCGGACAAGCTCAGCTTTTGGGGTTAAAATTCACTCGTAAGGGGGTGAATTAGGGAGAGTATTATTATTATTATTATTATATGTTATTTACGTTTGGAGAAGAAAATTCTTCAAATAAAAGTTACTTATTTTATTCTCTATAATTTTTGTTTTTTACAAAAATTTTCTAAAATGATTCGTATTCGAGATAAAATGTAAAAAAAATCAAATTTTTATGAAAATTGTTCAAATAAAAATTGTTTGTGATATAATTCTGTTGAGGTTTTAATCGGATCGAAATACTTAAGGATTCACAGTAGAAAATGTATTTATTAACGTATAAATTACAAAAATATAAATATCAAGTTATTTGATAATCTTGACTGACTTTTCTTAAAACTATCACGGCTCGCTTGAACAGCATCCAATGTAGTGAATAGTTAGTAGACTTTCTCCAACACTTCCCCTCGAGTCGTGATTGATATTTAACATTATCAAATTTGTATTAGACCTAATAGATTAACACAAGTAGTATGCTTTGATCTAGTTAGTCCTTTAGTAAATATATCAGCAGGCATTAAATGAGTTGATAAGTATTTTACTTGAAACTTCCTGCTTCTGATAGCTTCTCTGATGAAATGAAATTTTAAGTCTATATGCTTGCTCCTACTGTGAAACATTGAGTTATCCGCAAGCTTAAGAGCACTTTGGTTATCATTATAGATAGCAATATCAGTCAGATTTTTTAGTCCCAGGTCATTTAAAAAATTATAAAAATATATTGCTTCTTTTGAGGCTTCACACATTCCCATGTACTCTGCCTCTGTAGAAGACAATGAAACAGTGTGTTGTTTCCTCGAATCCCACGATATTGGACATCCAGATAAAATAAATGAATATCCTGAGAATGATCTACGGTAATCCAGACAATTTCCCCAGTCGGCGTCGACGAAACCCTTTAAAGATTCTTGAACAGGTCCGTATTGAAGCCCCAGGGTCATAGTTCCCTTCAAGTAGCGTAGGACACGTTTTGCAGTAGTCCAGTGAATTTTACTGTAGCAGTTGTTAAACTGTCCTAAGTAACTTACAGCAAAACTTATATCTGGCCTCGTAGTTGTACTTAAATAAATTAGAGCACCTATAGTTATTTTATTTTCCTTTTTGGAAAATTCTATTCCAAGGCAATAACCCACTTCCCCCAAGTTCTTTATTTCAAAATATCGGGAAAGTCTTTCATAGAGATTATTTATGATATTTGGATTCTTTGGATCTACATAAATTGCAATCAGTGTTAATTCTTCCCCTTGATTTAAACGGATCAGAGTTCGATGGTTTAGCACCTACTGTTACTAAAACGTTATTCAACTTGTGATACCAATTTCTTCCTGCTTGACGTAGTCCATAAAGGGCCTTCTTTGGGAGACATAATTTGTTACTTTCAAGAAGTTGATTTAGCATTTCTGCCGCCTTTTTGGTTACACTAGTGCTAGAACCCTCTGTATCAATAATTTTCCTTAAAATTGTTATTAACAATTTCGGTGGTTCCATGAAAATCTCTTCCTCAATTTCTCCATTTAGGTAAGCACAGGTAATATTGAATTGTCCAATATTCATCTTGAATCGAGCAGCTAAGGCTATTAGAAGTCTCATTGAACTTAAGCGAGCAACTGGAGCAAAATATTGAAATGTACTCCAGGCTGCTGACTAAAGCCTTGTGCCACAAGACGTGCTTTCCTTCTTTCCAGGGTACCATTAGCTTTAAATTTATTACATAGAATCATTCGACAACCTATTATGTGTTGATCATTTGGACGGTCAGTGAGTTGCCATGTATCATTTTTTAAAATAGATTTTATTTTTTCTGCCATGGCTTGCAACCACTTACTAGAATCAGGTCCAGACATGGCTAGTTTCATAGGAATTTCTGAAGTCAAAGCTATTTCTTCACCTAAATTTGATTACTCTGCCATATTATATAGTTTTCGAGGTCTTCCCCTAAATCCTGACCTATCCAGTCTTGGTCTACCTCGTCCCCTTTTACATTTGGTATTCTGATTTGTCCTGTCGTCTTCATTCTCATTTTCCGGTAGATTTTCAACATCTCTATAGGTCTCTAGGATCGAATTTTCTTAGTTTTTTTTATTCTTCCTCTAAATGTACCACTTCCACGGTTTTTTGTTACATTGTCAATTTCATTTGGAATAAAATCTTCAAATTTTTCATATTTGACTTTAGAATTTTAGAAAAATGTTACATCTCAGGTTATTTCAATCGTTTGGTGTTCCATATTCCAAATTCTATACCCTTTTGATTGTTCCGAATATCCCAGTAGCCTTCCTTACTTCTAGCATCAAGCTTTCCTTTTGCTGGATTTTTATTTAGACAGAAAACTCGGCAACCAAATTCTTTAAAAAAAACTTACATTTGGTTTCTTGCCAGTCCAAACTTCGTCTGGAGTTTTTCCGTTAAGACTCTTAGTTGGACATCTATTTCTAATATAATTAGCCTCTGCCCAAAAGAGATGAAAGGTCGGATTGCATAAGTAGACATCTAGCGGTATCTATAATAATGTCCTATTCTTCAGCTCTGCAATGCCGTTTTGTTGTGGGGTATAAGGACATGTTAAACGTCTTTTAATTCCTTTGAGCTTTAACATATCTTCAAATTTCTTATTGGTATATTCTGTACCGTTATCGGACTGAAAACATTTAATTTTTGTAGATTTCTCATTTTCTACCAACGATATGTAATGCTCAGTTATTCGTTGAACCTCTTCTTTAGAATGAAAAAATCTAACGTCGCACCATCTGCATTGATCATCTATGAACTCAATGAAATCAATTTTTTTTATGAAAATTGTTCAAATAAAACGTAATTTTTTATGACAGTCGCTTAAAGACAGTTTTTTTTAATGCCATTTTACTATAGATGTACTACATTTTTCCCAATCCGCAAAATATATGGTTTTTGATTGCTTTAATTTCTGATTAACTTTAAAAAAAAATACTGTCTTTTCCATATATTTTTTTTACGAAAATTTTCTATAGAAACTAATTATTTTATTTTTTTTTAAATTGACACCTGATTTCTTGAAGGACCCTTCACTCATTTTGAGGGAAAAAAATTAAGGTTATAAAATGATTGGTTATATTTTGACATAATTCGCACTTTTTTATAAAGAATTAGCATCTACGACATTCAAAATGGTTCTATTTTTTTATAATCGTTAATTTTTTGTGACACTAATATACTCCCAATTATTATTGCCAGCTATAAAATATGACTTTTTGTTTTTTAATATCAATTTGTTATAAGAAAATTGCAATTTTTAAGAAATAATAAATAACTCACTTGTAAATATTAGAATTGTTATCAAGTAGAAGAATATACAGGGGTTTTCAGAACTTATTTCCCCATATTTTTTTCTGTATGCTTATGTTCAAATATTAAATATATTTATTATTTATACTTATACAGTTTTGATAATGTTCAATGAAACTAGCAAAATGTTTGGTGGATCTTATTAAGTTACGCTAATAAATTAACTACAAAGTTACTATAAGTATATTTGTATAAGAATTGAAGGTATATGGTTATAAAAACAACGTTTAGAATTAGAAAAATGCGTGAGTTATATCTGTTATACTTAAAAGAGGTTTTCATTTTAGTTTAGTATAAACAATCGGAGAAAAAATTATGTTTCACACGGTAGAAAAACAGATTTACTTCTCTATCTAGTTAAACAAATAACTATTTTTTTGTAAATACTTAAGGAAATAATAATTATCAAAAAAAGAGTTTTTAGGTTCCTTTAATAACAATTTCTTCCCTTTTGACATTTTCCAATTTTCCTAATAATTGTTTTTTCTTTTCAGCGAATATCCGTCAACACTTTAAATCGCCGCAAACATTTCGAGTTAATCGGTAACACGATATTAATGGTTTGAGCTCATGTTCATTTCACCTCTGACAATAAAGACGTTTGATCCTAGAATGTATATGTCCGTTGATGATTGCTTTACATTGTAGTGTCTTCGGATATACCTTCTAGGGTTAAATGGACAAGGCTGCAGATATACCAGCTTGAGATACGTCTATTTTGAAAAATCTAACGTATCGAAGGGTGGATATAGAATTGAATATGATACGATGATCATTAATATCGTCGGGAAAAGAAGATTTTCCGGACGCGGTTTAATCGGAAATAATGGATGTTATGGAAAAAGGAAAGAAATACTGGACCAACTAATGGATGGATAGTAAAGGAGTAATTAACAGAATCAAATGGTGAGTCTTTTTAATTAAAATTACCTATTTTTGTGTACTAATTATTACAAAATATCTTAATCTTTTCCTGGATTTTTGAAATTTCTTGTGTCCATTATTTTAAATGAAAGTTATAGGTTTTTTTTTGATTGCTTATTTATAAAATAGACGAAAAACTGAGATAAACAACAAATAATGCAAAACACTTTTATAATACGGACCGGAATCATTTTGAATTAGACATTTTAAGTAATAAAAGGCGAAATAGGTGTAAAGTGGATTATATGAACGAGGAATATTTCCAAATTGGTGTCTAGCACTTTTTAGCAAAAGCTGAGCATTTTATTTGTAAGATATTACCGCAACTTTCAACAAAAAGCGACGTGCACTCAAAAACAGTTTGTGACGTACTAAAATTCGTGCTGTGCTACGATCACTGACTGCGAGCAGCAATAGCCCCTCCTTTTAATCGAAAGGGTGTAGTTAAACAAGTTTTTCTGTTTGTTTCTCTTTAGTTCCAAACATAATAAGCGCCTCATCTTTATTTCTCGGGATTATTATTTCAATAGGATCTATAGCGCTCGCGAAATGAAAGCAGTGCAACTGAGATTGCGCAAAATTCATGTTCCAAAATCGAATGAATTCTCTTCCGACAAGTTTACAAATAGTTCTTGAAAGTTTTAAGATTTTAAAATAATTGAATCAGTTTAAAGTGCTATTTATAACCTCTCTTTATTTTGTTTTTGTTATTAATTATAAAATCAGTAATGATTTATACATGAAATAACTTATCCATATCCAATAATAAATAGTTTAATTTCATTTAGTACTCACCTGATAAAATATTGTTAAAGTATCTACAGCTGAAGAACTGTATTTTACGGTATTATCGACATGCATCAATTGATCCAAATCAACAGCCTTCTCTATCCTTTGTAGAGCTTTATACACGGCTATGTCCAACCATTGGGCGACGCCACCATAGAACCATTCATGGAAATTCTTAATAACGAAATTATCACAGTCCGCCGGACACAATCCCACGCCGAGAGTGGTGAACCTTTGTACTGCAAGGTACAGTTCAAACAAGGAGGTTCCTTCCGACAAAGACTCATCAGGATTTTCTACGTTCGAACCGTTGTATCCGTTGTATTGGATTTGTTTGAGGTTCTTGCAAATTTGCGTCACTTCTGGCTCACAAAGGGTCGCCAATTTCGATTGGTAGAATACGTATAAGGCTTTGGCATATTGGAAATTTACAGTCCTTAAAGAAGAAATGATTAAGTTTTAAATAATTAAAGTACACTTGATAGAAAGGGACGTGGTAATTGTTTAAATTTCATAAAATAGGGCCTGTTTTCAAAAATATCTGCGTTCAATGCCCACACAAAACATATAAAGTAGTAATGTTGTTTGAACCACTCTGTAAGAAGTATATAGTTGAAACTATATGAAATAATAATCAAACAAAACGATAAACGTGAAAAATGTGAAATTACAATATTGTCTTCAGTATAAACCCGCTGACTGAAACGTCCCAAATCAGTTTCCTAGCCCTATCTCTACGATCTGAAACAACTTGTTTGAATGTTTGAGGGTTTGATAATCGGAAAGATTGTGAATTAACAATTTAAGAATCATGAATTGGAAAACATTGTTCTAAACATTCCATAGCGAAGAAATATCAATGAATGGTACTCACTCTTGAAACAATTTATCATAAAATTCTATGGCTTTCTGCAGATCGCTCCTCAGCAACTGAATGATCTGTATCATATTCTGCAACTTGGCCACGTCGGTCTCGTCCGGCCTTTTATTGTTCTCCGTGATATGATTCAGCCAGTCGACGGCACCTTTCGAAACGGCCTCGTTCAGAGTAGAGGGAATGTCGCAATTTGCCTCTTCGTTGCCGTCGAAAGTCATCCAGGGGTATAGCGTCCTGGGGAAGAGATCGAAATTCGACGGTGGATCCAATGAGTGGATGTGATTTAGAATTTTTAATACCTGAAATCGAAAAGTGATCAAAAAGATTGATTAAAAATTAACTATCTTACGTACTTCAGTGACTTGCTTCATTTTGGTTTTCTCGTTGGTGTTCTTCCGTCTGATCTTCCTGATGACGCTGAAACAGGACGGTAAAAGTTTCTTGGTGGCGTCCCAGAAGAGTTTAATGTCTTCGTCGCAAACTCCGCCCGTCTGCAATGGTTTGATGAGTTTGTCCAATAAATTTGAAAAGAGGGTAAGGCTGAGCCCGTGGTTTTGGTGTATGAAGGCGAACACGCAATACTGGCAAATGGACACTTCGACGGGCGTGAGTCCAGATTGGGCGATGTGTTGGGTTAGTAATTGGTCTCCTTGCGGACTGAACGTCCCGCACCACCAATTGGGAGCTACCTGTAATATCATACATGGTACAATTGTATTAAGCAATAAGCCAACTATAAAGTAATACAGCAAATTGGAGAAAAATGTTTGAAAATTAAAAAAATTGTTTAGGGAATGAGTTAGTTGTCGAAAGTCAGCTAAAAATCATCTTTATTACGACGTTCTATGATTTGTTTAACTTTGTCATGTCAAAGTCATCCTTTTTTTAATTCCCGTTTTTTTGCTTGAAATTTATGATTCTTTTTATGATTTAATTTTTATATGATTTTACGATTCTTTTTATGATTATTTTTATGATTCTTTTTAATTCTACGATTTTTTTAGGATTCTTTTTTTTTACTTTTTTATGATTACGTTTTATGATATTTTATATGAATCTATTATTCTTTTTTTTTTTTGGTTCTGCGATTCTTTTTCTGATTCTATTTTTGTTTTGGTTGTGATTCTTTTTTTTTGTTCTATGGTTTTTTATGATTCTCTATTTTTTTGGGTTTATGATTCTTTATTATGATTCTACGATTCTTTTTATGACTCTATTATTCTTTTTTAGTTCTGTAATTCTTATTATTTTTTTAGGAATCATTTTTATACTCTTTTATGATTCTATTTTATGATTTTTTTAAATGATTCTATTATTCTTTTTTTTGGTTTATGATTCTTTAGTATGATTCTACGATTCTTTTTATGATTTTATTATTTTTTTGGTTCTATAATTCTTTTATGATTTTTGTAAGATTCATTTTTATACTTTTTTATGATTGTTTTATGATTTTTTAAAATGATTCTATTATTCTTTTTTTTTTGGTTCTATGATTCTTTTTCTGATACTATATTTTTTTTGGTTCTATGATTTTTTTATGATTCTATTCTTTTTTGGTTCTATAATTCTTTTTATGATTTTTTAAGATTCATTTTTATACTTTTTTATGATTGTTTTATGATTTTTTAAATGATTCTATTTTTTTTTGGTTCTATGATTCTTTTTATGATTCTATTATTCTTTTATTGGTTATGATTCTTTTTTATGATTCTTTATTATGATTCTATGATTCTTTAATAATGAATCTTTTTGATTCTTTTTTTATGATTCTTATTTATGATTTTTTAATGATTTTTTTATGATTGTATGATTCTTTATTATGATTCTTTTATCCTTTTTGTGATTCTTAAATTATCTCGATAATTATTTTATACCAATTTCTTCAAGCACGAAGAATACTGTAGGATGTGTTTTATCGAAAGTTACTTACTTTGGACATTTCAAGTTCGTGTAAAAGTATGATCCGTAGTAAATGTCTGTATTCTTGTTCGGCCACCTGGTTGTTCTTTTCGGAACTAAACGATATTCTCACTTTCAACACGCCTTGTCGCGTAATTTTGTTCTTCTTATCCAAACTGTACCACATAGTCATCCCGGAAGCTGGAATGGTCTACAAAATAAAATTAATATACAGGGATTGACCGGAAAAGATTCACCTTTTCGAAAAAATGTTATTCTTTGTCTTTACCTCCTAATAAACACTACTTGACATGTTTGTACTTACACTTAAAGGGATATTCGCCCTGCCAATGAGTTCGTTTTCGTGTTGCCCCGTGGTGGCAGTCACGGCTATTTCCTTCACCAATTTCCTCATTCCTTTCAGTCCCTTGACGTCGAACACTTTCCCCAATTTTTCCTTTACAGACTCGGCCGGGTCGAAGTCCCACACTTCCAAGCATAGCGTATCTTCCGCAGTATTTTCTTGGATTGGCCTAAAAAGTCGTCACACATAAACGATCGAGATTGATAAATGATTAAATTAAAATTGGCCCAAGATGTAATGAGATCGTTTGTAATAACAATAAGTACTGTTGCGCAGAGCCGACCCTGTGATTTGTTTACTCGTTGCCCGTGGAATGCAGAGAAGCTACCAGAAAAAAACGGTATGTGGCCGTTAAGTCATAGAGATAGAATTCTTGGACATTAGAAACTACTGGTACAGAGCTGGCTTTATATAAATAGCGCGAGTTGTCGAAGGACAGTTTCAATTTAAGTGTTGGACAGAAAAGATAAATTGTAATAAGTAAATTAGAATTGGGAGTTTTAATAGTGTCTAAATATTATATAAATTAATTAATACGTTATTAATAAATTGTAAATAGTGTTTTAAATACATTAAAGAAACGTTGCAGTACTTACAATGCAAAGTGTTCTTCCCACACCGGATTCAACGTCATCGCTTTTACTGACGAATTGTATTTGTGTGCTGCATTAGAAGCTAAATATAAAGTCACAAATGGATCGCTTAAACCGTTGGAGTCCTTTGGGGATAAATCTTTAGCTTCTATAACCTATGTAATAGAAATAACCAAAATTGTAGAAGATATTCTTATTGCACAATATAATAATATTAATTTATTACCGCCCAGTGGCAGCTGGTAATAAAAATATTATGGATCATAAAGACATAATATAAATCTTAGGTAAAACACTTTTAGTCTTTATAATATTTCTTTATAAAACACTTAAAGATCTATAGTATGTCATGGTTACTGATACCGCCATACCTCAACGTTTATCATCAAATCTGGAGCCTCTTTCTTCTCAGCCGTTTCCATGAGATAGTTGTGCTTGTCATTTGATATTTTGAAAGCATCTTGGGCGTATGAAAACAAAGCAATCTGACCGATTTCGTAGCTGACATCGCAGCCGACGTTGTGTAGGATTTCGTACAAGACTTCGCAATAGAGCTCGTCTATCTATATATTAGGGAAAAAAATGTTAGATAATGGTAAATAGTGGCCAAATATATTTGAACTCATTTCAAATAAGTGTAAGTCGAAAAGTATTTGATATATTAATGTCTGATGTTGACTAGACACTTTAAAAGTTATTAATTGAATCATTGAAGGTTGGGAAATGTCACATTACACACCTCTACTTCCCGCCCTCACTTTCCGCCCTCATTTTATTTATTCTAGATGAATATTTTTTATATTTAAAAATAATAACACATTTTTTTGACAAATTTTATAATACCTATTTATTGGCAAACAATAAAAAAACAACAATGAACTAAAATACAACCAACTACTTATTGATATTTATTATTTGCGAATTTAATATCCGGCTTTATCTGACATTTATTTATATTGGTGACAGTTGTTTACCCCGTAATCACAGTAACAATATATTGGTAATTTGTCGTTAAATGTAATATTTTTAGGTATGTTCAAAACGAAACAAAGATTTATTAACTTTGATCGAAATATTATGGTTGTAAATAAAATAGTATACAAATCTCGGTAGGAAGTTTCATTCCTGTCTCGAGATCATAGCTAACCTCGACGCTTCGCGTCTCGGTGATCTAACTAATCTCACAACAGGAATGAAACTCTTCCCACCTCGGTGTGTAATATACTATTGCAAATCGCGGGTGATCTGGCAAAAGCTCCTATCTGACGTGATCTTTACTTTACATTGAAAGTTCAAATATGAAAGTAATATTAAAGAATTATTAGCTCACAATATTTTTTCCGGATGGGTGATTTTGTCGAAACATGCGCTGAAGCCTTTAGAACGTAGAGCAGTATAAATCGCAATTTTGAAGAAATTGTCAGATAAGAGCTTTTGTCAGATCACCCGCGATATGTCACTCTTGTACTGCAACTGCTGGTTACACCGGAAATAAGTTTGTTTTTCGGTATATTTTCTTTGTTCATAAAGCTTAATCTTCCCTCTTTCTACAAAGGTAGTATTTGGACAATTTTTTAAATGTATATAGTAATAGTGGTTCATTATCAAAAGATGTCTTGTAAACCGTGTTCTTGAGATGTCCCAAAAAAAAATCTATAGAAGATAAGTCTGGAGAATGTGCATCAATAACTCTACCTATCCATTTGTGTGGGTACTGTTGATTCACGTGATTTTGAAACATGTGGTTAAGAGATAAAAAAATAAAAAGAAAATAAGTAATATTGGAAAGAAGCTGATGAAGCAGAGAAGGTGAGCAGATATTTGAGCAGATCAAGTAGACATAAAAAAAGGCAAAGGAGAAGAAAATGAAAAAGGACGACGGAATTAAAGAAGATACAAAAACAAAAAAACGAGTCTATTTTTGGTAAATTTTAATTGGACATTCATTTTTGTTAACTCCTTTAGAAGTTTGAAACCAACCCAAATAGATATTTAAAATTCTCTAATACCATATCAAATTATTATAGGCAAACGCTTACCTCCGTAATTCTCATTTATACGACGATCATAAACCAAGATTTAACACTGTTTGATCGGGGCTAACATTTTGAAACATCTCCCGAGATAAATGGTTTATTTACTTTTTATATACCTACTTCAAAATTTAACCTTCTAGGTGTTGCGTTATTTTTGCTTAATTATTGTACGCCAAGTAATAACATTAGATTGTTTTGTCATTATAAGTATATCGAGTGGTTCCTAATTCAAATAAGTACGAATTTGAGCAGTGGGTCAGAATTTGAATGATTTCGAATATTTGGGTCGATATAAAGTAATTTTTAATCTTTATGTAAACAATATTAAAGTTAATTTTTAAACCGTGGTCGTAGATAGAGAATATTTACTCGAATTCATTTTATTTTTACCTGTCTAGATGTAATCATTGTAGAGCCATCAAAAACCCACTGAACTTATGCCCATGTTTACGTTTTACAAACACTGTTTGGGATCGATGCAAAATTATTGATTATTCCAAAAATTAACCCCCAAACTATTATGTAGCTATTTGGCCAGTGCGTTTCTTAGTTGTTACTGAAAATAGCGACCAAGGTTACTTCATTCTATGAAAATAATCCTTTTCGGTTGCAAGGTGCAACTGCGCCACTATATCGATCACTGTCATAACTAAATACATGAAGGTATTTTTCGCGGCATAAACCAACATGAACGTCTATGATAGATTATGTTATTAAGGGCCGATTCCACCGTTGTGTTAAACGGAGATTAAAATGACATTGTTAATGTAAAAATGTCATTTTAAACTTCGTTTAACACAACGGTGGGATCGGTCCTAAGACATGTATAAATAACATAATCTATCATAGACGGTCATGTCGGTTTACGCCGCGAAAAAAACCTTATTGTTGATACAGCGATTCTTTAACTAGGTAGTAAGGGGGAAATAAATGCAATTTTTTTACTGAAAAATGTATAGTTTGACGTAGGTGGGCCAAATTGGTAAAGGGACAAAGGGCCAAGAAAACGACAATGGCGTGCCAACAAGCGGTCCGCGGGCCGCATGTTGTGCAGGCCTGGCCTAAAATATCGAGAATCTTCTGAAACAGGGCTGGTTTTATATAAATAACGCGACTTTGCCTAGTAAGTTAGTTTAGAAGTCCAAAGTGCCAAATGAGGTGCGACACACCAATTATATTTCATGGCACTTAACGTGTTAAAGTTCTTACTTAGATATTTAAAAATTAAATTTTCCGGTGCTAAACTAATGCACTAGTGTACCATATACTATTTTACATAGGCGCGGTGTTGTCAAATTAACGAAAAATTAATTTTTTTATTCTTAATTTAAGGATATTTTTAAAAAATTTAAATGGACACAATTAGAGGGTAATATACAGGGTGTTCAATAAGTACGGTACATAACTTCAGGAGCGTATTCTAGAGCTAAAATAAAGGCATTTTTGTCATATACACTGTCTCAAAAATGCTTCGTTACGGAAATACAAGGCGTTCGTTTAACCAGTGGCGTGCGGATAAGGTAATAGCAGAAAACTTTCACACCCTGTATTTCCGTAACAAAACATTTTTGACATATAGTGTATATGACAAAAATACCTTTATTTTAGCTCGAGAATACGCTCCTGAAGTTATGTACCGTACTTATCGAACACCCTGTATAATATTAAGGAAAAAATCCAAGATGGTCGCCATAAAAAATAACAAAGTTACAGTAAGTAGTTCGAAAAAAAAAATAAATATTTTAATGTATAAAATACTCGTATACCAAAAATAATAACCATGATAATATATTCTTTATAAAACGAATTAAAAACGTCTATTCTCTTTTTTTAACAATTCTGTTTTTTTTTTAATAAAAGGCCCATGAATTTTAAAAAATGTAATTTCGGGGAGCATTGACCGTCACTATTGTCGCCAATAGCAACGTGTCATTACATATTTTTATAAAAACCTTATCTAACACACCAATTTAGCTGAAAACTTACGGTCATATTAGCAAGATACAATTGCGTGCGACGTTGCAGCTCCTCCTTCCTAACCCCCCTGAAAGGATTCCTCGAGTGCGTACTTTTACCCATTTTGGGTAAACTCACGATCACCCCCGTATTTTTCAAATTGCACTCGGAAACGCACGGCCGCATCATCATTTTTATTATTTTTTATTTTTTTTTGATAAAAATAAAAATTTCAAGTCCAAATTTTTTTACCAAACATTACTTTGCACTCACGGCCGTGGCTTGAGAAGAAAAAAACCGCGGTGACCAGGTACGTACTGTTTCGAAACGGGGTAGGCAGAACGTGTGATCTCGACGTCCGTCGAAATTTTTAGCCAATGTGCCAAAATCTATTCTGGTAGACGCGGCGTAAGAAATTTTCTGCTTGGGAGGATTTTATTTACGGTATAAGATATGTTTATTGACTATTAACGATTATATCCTGTGTTTGATTTTTGTTATGGTGCGTAGAGATATCGATTTTTGAAACGAGATGATGAGGAAATAGCTCAAGCTTTCCGGGAAGAACGCTTTTCTTACGGGGGGCGACGGGAGATCTTCTACATCAAGGTCCACAATGTAGATATATTCATAATCTATCAGTTTGAATTAAGATGAACATACATACAGAAAGTATGTCCAAAATTTGATCTTGTCCAGGAAAACGCCATATTTGTCCAGCAAAACGTCATTATTATCCAGCAATGTAATATATAATTTACTAAAACGTAACAAATAAGACAAAAACGTAATGAAGCTTTATCTATTTTTGGGTTTATCTTTTTTGGGGAACTAAAAAAAAGGTTCTCCGGTCCTCTACAAAATATCTACAAGGTTTTATGGTTCTCTGCATAACTTCTTTGTTCATCAACGTTGTTCAGCGTCTGTCTATCATTGGATCAAAAAAAAAGTAAAAATTTGTAACAAAGTTGTAAGATTTGTGATTTAACATTGTTTCTTGGTTTTATTACATAATTGCTGTAATCAAAACAAATTCAAAACTAAAAAAACCGGCATGCATCTGTATAGTGACACTTGTACAAACTACATACATTTTTTCATATTTTTATTTTGTTACCTGTCATTTTTTTTCAAAAAGTTTGTAATAGCTTGGGAGACAGTGAAAAATTTTGGGAATTTATTTTCGCAGTGAGTTTGTAGTGATATTTTGATTAATTTCCCCAGTCTGGCAATTAATTTCTGATAGAATCGATGATTCTAAAATCGAAATAATTGCACTTTTAAGGAGTTAAAGGGGGTGATAATTAAAAAAAAATCAGAAATAAAAAACGAAAAGTCATATCAACATGAAATTTTTAGTAAAAACCAAGCTCTATAAGAGGATGAAGCCCATTGCTTCTAAAAAAAAATCTGAATAGAAATGGAGTTAAAGGTGGTTGAAATATTTAATTTATAAAACAAATCCTAACTCAGAAACTAAAAAACGATATCAACGACGAAGTCTATTGAAAATGGGCGTGTTAAACTGTGAGTGCCAAGCGTTATATATCTTTATTCTAGTAAAAAAATAT